ACTGATGTTACCTGTCAGTACTGATGTTACCTGTCAATACTGATGTTACCTGTCAGTACTGATGTTACCTGTCAGTACTGATGTTACCTGTCATTACTGATGTTATCAACAATGATGTTACCTGTCAGTACTGATGTTACCTGTCAATACTGATGTTACCTGTCAGTACTGATGTTACCTGTCAATACTGATGTTACCAACAATGATGTTACCTGTCAGTACTGATGTTACCTGTCAATACTGATGTTACCTGTCAGTACTGATGTTACCAACACTGATGTTACCTGTCAATACTGATGTTACCTGTTAATACTGATGTTACCTGTCAATACTGATGTTACCTGTCAATACTGATGTTACCAACAATGATGTTACCTGTCAGTACTGATGTTACCTGTCAGTACTGATGTTACCTGTCAATACTAATGTTACCTGTCAATACTGATGTTACCTGTCAGTACTGATGTTACCAACAATGATGTTACCTGTCAGTACTGATGTTACCTGTCAATACTGATGTTACCTGTCAGTACTGATGTTAACTGTCAGTACTGATGTTACCTGTCAATACTGATGTTACCTGTCAATACTGATGTTACCTGTCAGTACTGATGTTACCTGTCAATACTAATGTTACCTGTCAATACTGATGTTACCTGTCAGTACTGATGTTACCTGTCAGTACTGATGTTACCTGTCAATACTGATGTTACCAAGACTGATGTTACCTGTCAATACTGATGTACCTGTCAATACTGATGTACCTGTCAATACTGATGTTACCAACACTGATGTTACCTGTCAATACTGATGTTACCTGTCAGTACTGATGTTACCTGTCAATACTGGTGTTACCTGTCAGTACTGATGTACCTGTCAATACTGATGTTACCTGTTAATACTGATGTTTCCTGTCAATACTGATGTTACCAATACTGGTGTTACCTGTCAATATATATGTTGACTGGCATTTAATTTTAAACTTTAAAAGTAACTTTGTTAAAGGTTACTTACTTTGCGACCCATTCCATTAGTTTCCTGATCATTGAGAGTGCCACTGGTGCTACCCTACTCTTACCTTGAACCTGACTGACCGTCTGATATGCTGACACTGGTCTGTTATGTTAACCCAATAATTTGTGTTAGGTGTTATATCTGTGCTGACCAGTAATTGTATTTACAGTGTAAGCTTGTTGTACACAACCAACACCAGTATACCTACAAGTCTAGCTGATAGCTCCTATCACTACTCCGTCAATCATATCTCATGTTTTCATTTCAACTTTCCAGGGTCAATTCTATTTCATTTGTTAATGCAGTATTTCAAATTTTCTGTTTGGATTAACTGTCCTGTAACTGTGTTATTGTCTGTGTTACTGGTCCTGTGACTATGATATTGTCTGTGTTACTGGTCCTGTGACTATGATATTGTCTGTGTTACTGGTCCTGTGACTGTGATATTGTCTGTGTTACTGGTCCTGTGACTGTGATATTATCTGTCTTACTGGTCCTGTGACTGTGTTACTGGTCCTGTGACTGTGATATTGTCTGTGTTACTGGTCCTGTGACTATGATATTATCTGTGTTACTGGTCCTGTGACTTTGATATTGTCTGTGTTACTAGTCCTGTGACTATGATATTGTCTGTGTTACTGGTCCTATGACTGTGATATTGTCTGTGTTACTAGTCCTATGACTGTGATATTATCTGTGTTACTGGTCCTATGACTGTGATATTGTCTGTGTTACTGGTCCTGTGACTGTGATATTGTCTGTGTTACTAGTCCTATGACTGTGATATTATCTGTGTTACTAGTCCTATGACTGTGATATTATCTGTGTTACTGGTCCTATGACTGTGATATTATCTGTGTTACTGGTCCTGTGACTGTGATATTGTCTGTGTTACTGGTCCTGTGACTTTGATATTGTCTGTGTTACTGGTCCTGTGACTGTGATATTGTCTGTGTTACTGGTCCTGTGACTGTGATCTGTGTTACTGGTCCTGTGACTGTGTTACTGGTCCTGTGACTGTGTTACTGGTCCTGTGACTGTGATATTGTCTGTGTTACTGGTCCTGTGACTATGATATTATCTGTGTTACTGGTCCTGTGACTGTGATATTGTCTGTGTTACTGGTCCTGTGACTTTGATATTGTCTGTGTTACTAGTCCTGTGACTATGATATTGTCTGTGTTACTGGTCCTATGACTGTGATATTGTCTGTGTTACTGGTCCTATGACTGTGATATTATCTGTGTTACTGGTCCTATGACTGTGATATTGTCTGTGTTACTGGTCCTGTGACTGTGATATTGTCTGTGTTACTAGTCCTGTGACTATGATATTGTCTGTGTTACTAGTCCTGTGACTATGATATTGTCTGTGTTACTGGTCCTATGACTGTGATATTGTCTGTGTTACTAGTCCTATGACTATGATATTGTCTGTGTTACTGGTCCTATGACTGTGATATTGTCTGTGTTACAAGTACATAGAAAGAGATAAAGTCTGTGTTACTGGTCCTGTGACTGTGATATTGTCTGTGTTACTAGTCCTGTGACTATGATATTGTCTGTGTTACTGGTCCTATGACTGTGATATTGTCAGTGTTACTGGTCCTATGACTGTGATATTATCTGTGTTACTGGTCCTGTGACTGTGATATTGTCTGTGTTACTGGTCCTGTGACTTTGATATTGTCTGTGTTACTGGTCCTGTGACTGTGATATTGTCTGTGTTACTGGTCCTGTGACTGTGATCTGTGTTACTGGTCCTGTGACTGTGTTACTGGTCCTGTGACTATGATATTGTCTGTGTTACTGGTCCTATGACTGTGATATTGTCTGTGTTACTAGTCCTATGACTATGATATTGTCAGTGTTACTGGTCCTATGACTGTGATATTGTCTGTGTTACTGGTCCTATGACTGTGATATTATCTGTGTTACTGGTCCTGTGACTGTGTTACTGGTCCTGTGACTGTGATATTGTCTGTGTTACTAGTCCTGTGACTATGATATTGTCTGTGTTACTAGTCCTATGACTATGATATTGTCAGTGTTACTGGTCCTATGACTGTGATATTATCTGTGTTACTGGTCCTGTGACTATGATATTGTCAGTGTTACTGGTCCTATGACTGTGATATTGTCTGTGTTACTGGTCCTGTGACTGTGATATTATCTGTGTTACTGGTCCTGTGACTGTGATATTGTCTGTGTTACTGGTCCTGTGACTATGATATTGTCTGTATTCCTTAAAGTGCTAACTACTTACTTTGGTACAGTCAGTGAATATCCTCTTGTATAAAACACTAAATCCTTGGCTTGTTAACACCATACAAACAGGGTTCATTATATGGTTGCTGTGGTTAACTGTTTTACCTATAGATATAAATAAACTCAAGTTGTGTCATATCTCTGTGTGGTGAAATCTCTCATCCTTATAAACATTGGGTATACAGCCTTCAAGGTGACCTATGGAGATAATTCTCGGTGATAATGGCTATTTTATATACACATTATAATCACACTGAGATATATATAGCTCATTTAAACCACAAATTTATAAAAGTGTCTTTATTCCTGCAACTGATATAACATCTGCAGCTGATTTCATTCACGCTTGGATATCTCCTGGTCGATATCATCAAAGGGATGTAGCATTCTATCTGTTTACAATAATTGAACATACTTTGTATTAAAATGGATCGAAATAAGGTATAGTTTATCAAAATTTGAAAAATACAGTTACAGTTTAATTAAAATAAAACAAATATAGGTACAATGTATTAAGATGGATCAAGATAAGATACAGTTTATCAAAATTTGAAAAATATTGTTACAGTTTATTAAATTTAGATAAATAAAGGTACAGTTTGACATAATTAGATAGAGATAAAGTACAGTGTATTAAAATGGATCAAGATAAGGTGGCTCTCTCCTGCCTTGGGCCAGTTGGGTGGGGCCCAATGTGGAAAATCTATCAGTTTCTTTAAATCTGTATTGTTCTTCAGTAATTGCAGGATATTGTTCAGATTTTGGTCTGAAGCATATTTTGGTGAAGGGAAATCAGTTTTGTGTAAACAATGGATTGCTGCCCCCTGAGTCCAGATGGGATGGGCTCAATATGGGAATCTATTAATTTCTTTAAATCTGTATTGTTCTTCAGGAATTGCAGGATATTGTCCACTTTGCACCATCAACAGTTCATTTTGATGTTTGGTTCTTGGAAACAGTTGTGATTCCAGCTGAATAACTAAAACATTGCTGAGCATCAGGAGATAACACAATCATAACTGATAATTTGTCCTCGGATGTGGTCCCACCCCAGGACAGACTATATCTTTGAAGCCTTTGAGATTAACATCTAATAACTTAAAAGCCTTGCTGGACATCAAGAGTTTAACAACTGATCTCTGTCCCCACCCCTAGGAATATTGAAGCCATACGTTGGGTGAGGCTCATCAGGGAAAATATATTCCTTCTGAAAAAATGTGAAGTTTTGCATTATAGACTTCAATATCCAGGAGAGGGATACAGGCCCTCTAGGCCTCTTGTTAAAATTAGATAAATATAGGTACACTTTGATATAATTATATATAGATAAGGTACAGTGTATTAAAATAGATCGCGATGAGATACAGTTCATCAACATTTGAAAAATATAGGTACAGTACATTGAAATAAGATAAAGAATTTTTCATCTCATTTGGTTTAAAGGACTGGTTAGCTTATGCCATGACCTGGGATTGGGGGTTCTTCAACTTTATAATAAAGATCACTTCTAGTCATGAGAGAGTGAAGAGGGGATGTATTCTGAGAGAAGAATGCATTCCAAAAGCCTAACTGACCAAGAGACAAGAGAGATGACCCAGAGATTGGAGGGGGGATGTATTCTAAGAGCCTAACTGACCCAGAGAATGGAGGGAGATGTATTCTGTGAGCCTGATTTTCTAACTGTCTGTAGTTATTGCAGTTTTATTTGTAATATTTCAGGGAGCTGGTGGAAATTGAACACGAGGACAGCAGGCTGTGTTTTAAAGTCCATGGATTTGTGACAAATGCTAATTATTCTACAAAGAAGTGTACAATGCTTCTCTTCATAAATCGTAAGTTTTGAGGTCACCTGAAACAAAGGCTCAGGGTGACCTATTGGGATCTCTTCAACAACATGCATTGTGTGTCATACGTCATAAGCATACATAAGCGACTTCTACTGGAAAACTCTTTAAATGACATCAGTGAAAAAAAAGCACCAAAAATGGGTCAAATTGACTTAAATTTCAACAACATTCTCCTTTCTATGCCAATATAAAGTAGAACCAAATACTCTTCTTGGATGTTTTACCAAATTTGTAAATTTCACGATCCCCAAGTTGTCAACTTTCCCCCGTGGGGAGGGGGTAAATTTTTACTGTAGTTTATATGAAAATTACATTTTTAAACATGATTTGTTTATTTTCTTTAGAAATAGTACAAACTTGGTTAGAATTATTAGTAGAAGATGACAGTTTAATGAGACAGACATATTGACCTTGGATGACCCCTGTGGGCTGATAGGCGGTGTCAAAATTGGTTCAAATTGATTGAAATTTCAAAGATGTTCTACTGTTGATGGATGGAAGATTTTATATGTTGAATTGAATTCTCTTTAATTCAAACTTGGTTAGAAGCCTAAGCATGGGACAGCAGGTAATGTTATGCACAGTTTATGTTTGTATTATGTGTACAATGTAGTTAAAGTTATCTTACTTTTTTTTAACAAAATCATCTCTGTGACATGTTACGAGAAGCATTATAACTCAGGTGACGGTGAAGGCTCCTGGGCCTCTTGTTATCATTTACAGGAATCTGAAAGGATGAAGCTGACACTACCACTGTCAAAACCAGATCATATTTATTATAATGATAATGTGGTGTCAGCTTTCTGTTGATATTATAATTTCCTGTAACTACCAAATAACACGTGTTTCTCAATAATATCATTTACCTCTGTGTAGCTGAGAGACTGTAAAAAGGGACTGTATGTTGATTAATCAAAAGGGATCTACAGATAAAGGGACTGACCCTGGGTCAACTAAGGGATCTACAGATGAAGGGACTGACCCCCCGGGGTCAACAAAGGGACCAACAGATAAAGGGACTGACCCTGGGTCAACTAAGGGATCTACGGATGAAGGGACTGACCCCCCTGGGTCAACAAAGGGACCAACAGATAAAGGGACTGACCCTGGGTCAACTAAGGGATCTACAGATAAAGGGACTGACCCCCCTGGGTCAACAAAGGGACCAACAGATAAAGGGACTGACTCTTGATCAACTAAGGGACCTACAGATAAAGGGACTGACCCCCCTGGGTCAACAAAGGGACCAACAGATAAAGGGACTGACTCTTGATCAACTAAGGGACCTACAGATAAAGGGACTGACCCTGGGTCAACAAAGGGACCTACAGATACAAGGACTGTCGAACTAGCTGTCTCATGGGCCTACAGATACAGGGACTGACCCACTTGTTGTCTCAGGGGCCTACAGATAAATGGACTGACACGCTAGTTGTCTCAGGGGTCTACAGATACAGGGACTGACCCACTTGTTGTCTCAGGGGCCTACAGATACAGGGACTGACCCATTAGTTGTCTCAGGGGCCTACAGATACAGGGACTGACCCACTAGTTGTCCAAAGGACCATCTGCTAGAAGGGAAATACATATTCTAGGACTGACTCCCTGAATGGGCGAGGGCCATACAGACAGGAATTTAGCCTATTGTCACAATGAGGTTACACGGGTAGGAGAAGGACACCCTTGATGATGAAAACAATGAAGTGATTAGTCGTAACTTAGGAAGTTTATCATGGATGTCATATTGAAGAGCTGGACATTGTGTTGGATACATAACAATAGAGTTTTGATTTGTCCACAGATCGCTTGGTGGATTCCACTGCCTTGCGGAAGTCCCTGGACACAGTATATCAGGCCTATCTGCCAAAGAACTCCCATCCATTTATGTACCTCAGGTTAGTCCTCATTATTCAATAATAATCGGAAATCCAAAACTAGTCTAAAACAGTCCAAATATATATAGCTTACTCTTACCATTCCATCCGCTGTTTTATAAGAGATCCTGGGATTAATTCTGTCTAATAATTCTAGCTGTTTGATGTTTGATATACTGCTGGATTTTTAGGTAACCTGAGCCAAAGGCTCATGGTGACCTATTGCCATCATGATTTGTCTGTCGTCGTCCGTTGTGCGTCGTTAACTTTTCACATTTTCAACTTCTTCTCAAGAACCACTGGATGGATTTCAACCAAACTTTGCACAAAGTATCCCTATAGTAAGATGCATCAAGTTTGTGAAAGAAAAGGATGTGGTACCAATAGGGGCTACAGGAGGGGGCAAAAAGTGGTAAAATTAGGTAAATCTTCAACAATCTTCTTCTTATGAACCAAGTATCAGATTTTCTTAAAATTCAAAATTAATTATTCTTAGAGCAAGTTCTACAAAGTTTGCGAATTAGAAAAAAACAGGCCCTCCAGGGGGCACTAAGAAGGGGTCAAAATTCAAAGTTGACGGATTTCAACCAAATTTAGTATATAGGGTCCTCTAGTGAAGAACATGTGACTTTGATTTGAAAAAAAAGTGTCGGAGGGGTTCTGGGGCCTCATGGGGGGCAAAAAGGAGTCAGTTAGATTTTTTTTTGAAAATGGGTTCTAATGGCATTGACCATGTTTTTGGGTTACAACCACACTAAGCACAAAGCATCTGTGTAATAAGACACATTTAGTAAAAAAAAAAGTAATGGCTGCAATAGGGGCCCCAGGTGGGGGTAAAAAAGGAGTAAAATGAGGTAAAGTAAGCTTCTTTAAGTTTACAATAGAAAAAGGTGTGGCCTCAATGGGGCCATATTTAAGGGGTAGAAAGGGGTAGAATTTGTTAAATCTTAGCAAATCTTGTTGTCCTGAACCAAAAGTGTAACTTCATATAGATGATCTTTAGGGAAAAGACTGCAAAGTTTGTGAGAATAAAAATAACTGGTCCAAAATTAGCTCTTCTGATATTTGTTACATATTAATCTTTAATAAAGACATGTTGTGTGTTTATGACAACCATATAGGCGAGAAAAAATGTGTAGCCAGATCTTTCATCAAACCCGGATCTTATTACTCGCTGAACCTTCTATGTTCTGAGCTACATGTATAATATGGTTCAATACCTGTGGTAACACTACATTTCTCAGCCTTGATACATATATATTCCTGTCTCAGAAGTACCACAAGATTTTTTCACATTGTTTTATGTGAGATTTTTTAGTTGGATGCCTTATTGTATTAGGAAAGGAAAAGATTGTGGATAGACTTGAAATTGATCTGATTTTTTGTATACTTTAGCTATACATATATCTACTAAGCTATATTTCAACTTGTAAATGAAAACATGATTTGCTTTATGTGAATATGCAACCCTGGCCTCTGTTTGGCAAAGACATTTTGGACTTCCTCTCAAGAACCACTGGGTGGATCATGTTCAAACTTGGTACAGATGTTTTACACACGGTCCTGCACAAGTGTTGTTACATTTTTGCAACATTTTAAAATCCCCAGATTATTGACAAATATTCATCAGGTGACCGTTAAGGCCCCTTGGGCCTCTTGTATATCTACAGCTTGGAGATCGCCCCTCAGAATGTCGATGTGAATGTTCATCCTACAAAACATGAAGTTCATTTTCTGCATGAGGATGCCATTATAGAAAGTGTACAGACAGCTGTGGAGGCAAAACTGCTGGGGTCCAACTCATCTCGAACCTTCTACACTCAGGTAAAAATGTCACCTACAACACAGGTATACATATCACCTACCACACAGGTATACATATCACCTACCTGTGTACCTACCACACAGGTATAAATATCACCTACCACACAGGTATACATATCACCTACCACACAGGTATACATATCACCTACCACACAGGTATAACTATCACCTACCACACAGGTATACATATCACCTACCACACAGGTATACATATCACCTACTACACAGGTATACATATCGTCTATAACAGACAGTATACCAAACCTCTCAGAGTGAAACATTTTATCAAAACCACTTAAACGCAGAGCATAAAACATGAATACAAATAAATTAACCGCTTTGTATCAGTAATTTTATACAATACTGTATTCATTACATATTTAGCCTACCTCTTGTGTTATTCTAGAATTAAGCTGCAAGTAGCAGCTTTGGCTGCCAGTAACACTGTGAATGGTTCATTATCCCAGGATGTACAGACATGTCATTGTCTAGTTCTAATCTCTAAGCCTTCATACATCTATATCACATGTCTCATCCCCTTATTGTAACAAATAGCTGTGGTGTGCTTCATTCTTTTTCAGAAGAGAAAGAAATTTGAGGCTGTTATAAAACATAAGAAACTTACCAAAAGTAGCACATTATCTTTGTTCAGCTGCACCTGGTTCTAATCATATTTTGAAAATAAGCATTAAAAATCTTGTTAGAATGCTCCAAAGCTCCAAAGGTAAACGGCTACAGATATATTGCCAGTGGTAGAGGTAAATGGCTACAGATATATTGTCTGTGGTAGAGGTAAATGGCTACAGATATATTGCCTGTGGTAAAGGTAAATGGCTACAGATATATTGTCTGTGGTAGAGGTAAATGGCTACAGATATATTGCCTGTGATAAAGGTAAATGGCTACAGATATATTGCCTGTGGTAGAGGTAAATGGCTACAGATATATTGCCTGTGGTAGAGGTAAACGGCTACAGATATATTGCCTGTGGTAGAGGTAAACGGCTACAGATATATTGCCTGTGGTAGAGGTAAATGGTTACAGATATATTGCCTGTGGTAGAGGTAAATGGCTACAGATATATTGCCTGTGGTAGAGGTAAATGGCTACAGATATATTGCCTGTGGTAGAGGTAAACGGCTACAGATATATTGCCTGTGGTAGAGGTAAACGGCTACAGATATATTGCCTGTGGTAGAGGTAAACGGCTACAGATATATTGCCTGTGGTAGAGGTAAACGGCTACAGATATATTGCCTGTGGTAAATGTTGAAATTGTTAAGTGAGTATTGTCCAGATTTGGCAATGACTTACTATTGTTACTTAGGTTTCTCACAAGAACATGTGTAGCAACCATTCTATAAACTACATATAGACGCACAGTTTGATGTATCTTACTCTATAGTATAATAAAGAATCCCATTCACTTGATAAATTCTGATTTCCAAAATATTGTTACACAGACTTTAACTAGTTTTATTTCTTCGCATTTCTGACTTCAGTAGCCTCCAGCAGCGATCCCGAACAATGGACAATTTATACATCTTCAAAACATGGAACTTACAATTAACTCATAGAGATAAGAATACTTCAACTGAAAACTACCCATCTTGTTGGAAGAAAAGTCACTGTACCCTTTCATTACACCATGCCTAATGTCCTTGTCTTGCTCAGTCAGATGCTTAATCACAACATACATGTAGGTGTACAGACAAGAGTCTAGTTGAGCAGGACTGCTGATATCCATGTGAATAGGAGTAAATCAAGATCAAGATCAGATCAAGAACATTTTGATCACTGTCACAGAAAAGTCTAATGATGTAATGTTAATGTCTTAAAATTTAACATCAGAAAATCTTGGAAAATTAGAGAAGTTAATGACCGAGGGTCCTGGAAATGTCTGGGCATGTTTGGGCTATGGGAACCACCATGTCCCTAAACCAGAGTCACACATGATATTACAGTAGCAAGACACATTGATAATAGAAAGGCATAGATAGTAGCAAGACACATTGACAGAAGCAAAATATATTGATAAAAACATGACGTATTGACATTAGCATGACATCATGACATATTTATAGTAGAATGCTGTGATAAATTCTTTTGTACGTAAAATTTAAATATCCTTATATCACTTTCAAGATATTTAATAACCAAAGTAACCTTTTGTCATATTTGGCCAGTTTTTGGAAAGAGAAAGTATCAACTTCTTTAGCCAATCATCATCAGATGGTTGGCTATTCAAATCACCCTACATCCTTGGTCCATCCATCCATCGTCCATCCATCCATCCATCCATCGTCCATCCATAAACAATTTTGTTATCACTATTTCTTGAGAAGTGTCTGAGGGATCTTTCTCAACTTTCATAGGTCAGTTTTCCTTAGTCCCTAGTTATGCCTGATTGATTTTGGGACTGCTGATCAGAAGAAACAAAATGGCAGACAGGTGGCCTTTTTTGACTTTTTCAATGATGTTTCTTATGGTTTTTTCTTTGAGAAATACAGGTCCCAAGGTCTCTTGGTCCCTAGTTGTGTCAGTTTAATTTGTGACTGATCAGATACACAAAACGGGTGGAAGACCAAAATCTTCAATTTTTACGTTGAAAGATTGTTATCACTATTTATTGAGAACTACTGATGTTTAGATTTTTCTAAAGTTTATTGAAGCAGTGAATGGATCTCTCTAAAATTCATATTAATACATATTGCTCAAATATCTTGCATTGGGTCCCCTTGGATCTTAGTTGTGCCCGTTCAATTTTGGGATCAATCAGAAAAGCAAAATGGCTAAAAGACGGGTCATTTTGGATTAAGAGCAAAAACGTGAAAGAAAAGATAGCAGAAGGTAAAATAATCCAATCTTCAAAGAACAAAGAAAGATCAAACAATGGTGAGCACCAAGATCCCTCTGGGAGCCCTTGTTGATTGAATACAATTTTATCTTGTGAGGCTTGTGATAAAGACCCATTAAGCTATTGTGTGTTTTAGGCCCTGCTTCCTGGTGTGTCCTTCACAGAAGATGACAAGGCCTCATCATCAGGTAAGTTAGAACAGACCTGAGTATGTATGTATTTAGCACATTTCTCATTCTCAGTACAATGTGTCAGGTTGGTTAAGTCTGACGGGGGTATATATGTACTTAGTTCATTTCTCATTTTCAGTACAATGTGTCAGGTGAGTTAAATCTGACCTGGGTGCATATGTACTTAGTATATTTTGCATATTTTCTACACATTTAATTACCAAAACGTTTCAGTACAAAGTGATGTGATGAATTGTAAATATATCCTAATTAGTGCTGAAGATAATAACAGTATGTCATTAAGTATAATTTCAGCCAACTGTCATTACTACCACCAAATGTTGATATTACTATTTCTTGACAAATACTGGATGGAACTTTCCCAAATTCTGTTTGTTCTCCTTGGTCCCTAGTTGTACTGATTTTATTTAAAAATGAAATGCCTGACACATGGCCATTTTAGACTTCGGGGTAGGAAACATTGTTATCTTTACTTCTTGAAAAGTTCTCTAAGGATGATGCACAAGTATCACTTGTATAGAAAAGCTAAATGATGAATTAATCTGCATCATTATACAGCTGTTTCAGCCCTGGTCAATAAAGGCCTAAATCGTGACACCAATGAAGTTCTTATTGCTATTTAATCAATTTCATTTCGTATAAGTTGACCTTGTTCCTTTGAACTGATGAGGAAATAAAATAGCTGACAGGTAGCAAGCTTGGATTTTGAAAATGGAAGTTTGTTCTTCATAAGTAGTGGATGGATTTTGAAAATTTCTGAAGAAGTTTACTAGGTGGGCCCCTCTTAATTTTATGATTGATAGAAAACCAAACTGGCTAATAGGTCCCCTTTTGGCCATTAAGCCATTGTGGATTTGGACAATGAAAGTATTTTATTGTCATTAGGTCATCTGACACAAAGGGTCAAGGTGACCTATAGCCATTGTGCTTTGTCCATTGTTGTGTGCATAAACTTTCCATTCAAAGAACTTCTTCTCATTAACCAAAAGGCTAATAGTGTTGATATTGGTCCTTTAGCATGCTAGGACACAGAGCTTCCAAACTGTTCATATGAATGACCATGACCATTTTTTCAAGGCCAGAAGGGTCAAATGTGTCAAAATCTCTTAACAACTTCTTAATATCTGAAAGGCCAATGGGACTGCTATTGGGGTCGGTAGCATGCTGGAATCAAGAGCTATTAAGTTCATTAAATGAATGACTTTGACTGACTTTTAATATTAAAACGATCAAACATGTTAAAATCTTCAAACAACTTCTTTTTAATAAACAAAAAGTTGAGGACATTGATATTTGTTGTGCAACATAATTGGATGAAGGACAACCAACTTTTATGCAACTGATTGACTTTAATCCAATCTAAAGGTCACTGGGGTCAAATGAATTGAAGGCTTCAAAAATCTTCTTTCAACAAGCCATAGGTCCTGGGTTATAGTAGTTGTGTAGCATGCTTGAGGAATAGGATTTCATGTTTACAGACATTGAATTTATAAAGTTTTTACTGTGTTAGCAGTTTGAGCATCAGAGTTATTGATATCTATGGAGCCTCTATCTTGTATTTGTTGTTGTAGTCAGATTAACCATTATAAGGCCCACAGGCTTTCTGGAAGAGAACTGGATGGATCATTTTCCAGATTTTATCTGACAGTTCCCTTTGGTTTAGTCGTTACAATAAAAGTACTTAAATCTTATTTTGTTTGAAATGCCTTTGGGTAAAGGTCTCTATTTGAAGTAGATCAAAGTCTGGTGAGGGACAGGGCCCGATATCAGAAACAAATTGTAGATTGGTTCTTTTTCTGCTTGGAAGAAGTTTTTTTTCAAATTCAGTTTGAGGGTTTGTATGTTTGGGGGGAAAAGATAACAATATGACAGTGAAGAAAAATTATTTGAAGTGAAAACTGAAACATCCAAGTGAGCAATGCAGGCCCCATGGGTCTCTTGTCTTTTTATTAATGTGTATTAAGTAAATATGCTGTGTAACTGATAATATATAACAAAACTTAACAAATTTCTAATAATGCAACCAGTAGAAGATTAAATTGTGGTAAATCAATGACAATGTCCACCTTTATCAGAGAAAAATGAAGTGTGAAGCTTGTTATCTCTGTGGTATGAAGTGTATGGAAAATGTTTCTAAGATACAGAGATACTGTGTTACTGTAGGCATAGAATGAGAAAATTTCCGGAGGTCCAGGTCCGGATGTTAAAATATTGGATCATGTTATTTCTATACATTAAGAAATCCTTTTATACTGAATGAAAACAACAAAAATAAAAAGCCCATGAAAGCTAGTGAAAATACTACTCACCTTGATTGTAGTGCATCCTCACTGATAATCCCTGGACTGTTAGTGACAGAGTTTGTTGTTCCCAGTGGCCCGCACCATTTAAGTCGATCACTCTTATTACATGCTACATTGACCTGGCAGTTGTCTACAGACAGCTTCTGTGTAGAAATATTTCTCTGTCTCTTAGTCAAACCTCCAGTGTTGATCCTATATATCATAGTCAACCCTCCAGTGTTGATCCTTTATAAAACAGTCAGACCTCCAGTGTTGATCCTTTATAAAACAGTCAGACCTCCAGTGTTGATCCTTTATATTACAATCAAACCTCCAGTGTTGATCCTTTATATTACAGTCAAACCCTCAGTGTTGATCCTTTATATTATAGTCAAACTTCCAGTGTTGATCCTTTATATTATAGTCAAACCTCCAGTGTTGATCCTTTATATTACAGTCAAACCTCCAGTGTTGATCCTTTATATTATAATCAAACCTCCAGTGTTGATCCTATATATTACAGTCAGACCTCCAGTGTTGATCCTTTATATTACAGTCAAACCTCCAGTGTTGATCCCATATATTATAGTCAAACCACCAGTGTTGATCCTTTATATTATAATCAAACCTCCAGTGTTGATCCTATATATAACAGTCAAACCTCCAGTGTTGATCCTTTATATTACAGTCACACCTCCAGTGGTGATCCTATATATTATAGTCAAACCTAACTTTTGTTTTTACTTTGAAATCTGAAAATTAATTCAAGATATTTTGGAAATCCAATTAAGTTCGGCATTGCTTAGATATGAATCAAAGACAGAGACTTCTACAAGTCATGGTTTGCAAACACATGACATTTGATACTACTACAAATATCTCAATAGAGAAGTAACAGAGAACAATCTTTGACCCATTGAGCTTCTTCATCAAATGAATTACTTGACACTTGTATAATAAAATCTAGATTGACCGGGTTACACAAACAATGATTTGATCCTTTATACAAGGGCTGGTTGATATCCACAAAAGCCTCTCACACTAATATATTCTAATTTTGGAGATTTATTGTACATTAATTGTCATCAAGTAATCTGTTATTACCTCCCCTTGTTTTTATGCCTGCGTATAGTACCACTTCTCACACTGGTCAGTTATTAACACACCTGCCTGACAGGTATGTCAAGGTTAAGGAGACTACAGAAGTTAAATGAGTTTAAATCTACAGAGTACTTCTGGACAAGAAACCAATTTAATTAGCCTATAGCATGTTAGGGTGACAAATTTCTGTTAAATTTTTTAACCCGCCATAAAATACCTGGTCCACTAGACTGGTGAGCTTATGCCATACAGCATCCAGCATGCACTGCAAATTGCTATTAGTCATAAATGACAAAGTAGATTTTAACCAAATTTGGTCAGAAGCATCCATGGTGGAAGAAGAACAGATAAATGGTGGGTATCAGTCCCCTGGGTACTGAGGGGCTGGGGCCCAAAAGGGAACTTTTTTTTCATTTTTTTCCCTAATCATCCTATAGGAATGAATAGTTTATTACAAAATTTGATCTGAAGAATAGTTTTGAGAAGGAGAATCAATTTTTATAAACAGTGGGTTTCAGCCCCCTGGGGCAGGAGAGTGAAGGGGGGGGGGGGGGAGTCCAATGAGGGAAATCGGGACACATTCTTTAAAATTCTGTTCCTCCTGTAGGAATGATTGGATTTTGCTCAGATTTGGTCTAAAGCATTGCTAAGTGAAAGGGAATAAATTTTGTATAAACAGATTTCTCAGCCCTATGGGGCTGGAGTGGCAGGGCCTAATAAGGAAAGTAGAGCAAATTGTTTAAAATTGTTCTTATCCTTAAGGGCTTCCTGGATTCTGTATCAGTTTTGTCTGAAGCATCCTTAAGTGAAGCGGAATCAATTTTGTATAAACAGCAGGTCTCAGCCTCCAACAGCAAGATGGGCAGCACCCAAAAAGGGAAATAAAAGAAATTCTTTTAAATCTTACTTCACCTGTAGGGATGAATGGATTTTGACCACCTGTGGTCTGAAACATTCTTGGGTCTTGGCTACCTGGGGCAAAAGGAGCAGAACACAATACCTGAAACAGAGTAGATTCCTTATAAACCTTCTTCTATAGGAATGATCCAGTTTTGCCAAAATTTAATCTGAAACATTCTTGAGTGAAGAGTACTTTGTTTTATATTATCTATGCATCTTAACCTCCTTGGGTCAGAGGGGCAGGGGCAGAAGGGGTGGGTTAGAGGGCTATTGCAGAGGGGGATGGGGTCAGAGGGGCAGGGGCATTCAAGGGTAAATAATTATTTCAATACCTTTCCTTTAGTTTTAATGAAGTTATTTCAGCAAACAAAACCAGGTGAGGGATACAGGCCATGTAGGCCTCTTGTTACCTTGTCATTTCATCATTCATTTGTGTAATCATTTTTTGTCATTTCATTATTCTGTCATTCTGGCATTTCTCTTATATCATCATTCTACATTTTCATTATTCTGAAATCCTACCCTGTCATCATTCCTTAAGAATTTTACTGCTGTTCATTTACTTTGTATAAATTTGTATGTTGAAAAGATGCATGTGAAGTGCTTGAATTGGTTCATGGTGACTTTTAGGTCGAAGTTGAAGTGACCCATGTAATCACTTTTTCCCTTTCATTGTTTGTTATGTGTCATAGACAATTTACAGTTTTAACTTCTCAATAACCAAGATGCACAAGATGCAGAAACTGGGCTGAAGGGATGAAGGGTTTTTTAGGTCATCATGCTTCGTCCGTCGTCGTCCGCCGTGCGCCGTGCGCCGTGCGCCGTCCGTAAACTTTTCATTCAAACGACTTCTTCTCAAATACTAGAAGGTCTAGGGGGCTAATACTTGGCACAGAGGATACTGGCATGGAGCTCTACCAAGTTTGTTCAAATGAATGACCTTGACCCACTTTAAAGGTCACAGGGGTCAAATATGTTAAAATCTTTAAACAACTTCTTCTCAATAACCAAAAGGCTCAGATTGCTGATATTGTGCCTGTGGCATGCTGGGAGGAAAGGCTACCAAGTTTGTTTAAATGAATGACCTTGAACAACTTTCAAGGTCACAGGGGTCAAATATGTCAAAATCTTTAAATAACTTCTTCTCAAATACTAGAAGGCCTAGGGGGCTAATACTTGGCCCATAGCATGCTGGCATGGAGCCCTACAAAGTTTGTTCAAATGAATGACCTTGGCCCACTTTCAAGGTCACAGGGGTCAAATATGTTAAAATATACAAAGGACTTCATCTCAATAAGCAAAAGTCTATGAGTGCCGATATTGGGTCTGTAGCATGCTGGGAGGAAAGGCTACCAAGTTTATTCAAATGAATGACCTCAACCCACTTTCAAGGTCACAGGGGTCAAATATGTTAAAATCTTTAAACAACTTCTTCTCATTAACCAAAAGGCTCAGAGTGTAGATATTGGGCCTGTGACATGCTGGGATGAAGGACTACCAAGTTTGTTCAAATGAATGACCTTGACCCACTTTAAAGGTCACAGGGGTCAAATATGTTAAAATCTTTAAACAACTTCTTCTCAATAACCAAAAGTCTCAGATTGCTGATATTGTGCCTGTGGCATGCTGGGATGAAGGGCTATCAAGTTTGTTTAAATGAATGACCTTGAACAACTTTCAAGGTCACAGGGGTCAAATATGTCAAAATCTTTAAATAACTTCTTCTCAAATACTAGAAGGCCTAGGGGGCTAATACTTGGCCCATAGCATGCTGGCATGGAGCCCTACAAAGTTTGTTCAAATGAATGACCTTGGCCCACTTTCAAGGTCACAGGGGTCAAATATGTTAAAATATACAAAGGACTTCATCTCAATAAGCAAAAGTCTATGAGTGCCGATATTGGGTCTGTAGCATGCTGGGAGGAAAGGCTACCAAGTTTGTTCAAATGAATGACCTCAACCCACTTTCTAGGTTTGGCTTGCTTTTTGTCAGATGACCGTTAAGGCCCATGGGCCTCTTGTTTCAGTTTAATGACCTTGACCACTTACAAGATGACAGGGCTCAAATGTGTGAGAACACTTAAATGACTTCATCTCAATAAGCAAAAAGCCCTCATAGTGCTGATATTGAGCCATTAGTATGCAGTGATAAAGGGCTACAAAACTGTTCAGCAAATTCTGCACAAATGAAATGAGGCTGCTGTGACCTGATTGGCTGATATCTATTGGCACTGTTAACTGAATGCTTTCCACACATTTCTTTATGAAGGAACAGATGAATTATGATGAGATTTGCTTGGTAGACTTGTTATCTTAACCCCTTCTTCAAGTTTGATAATTGGCAAATTGTGCGCATATTTAATGAGGCTGTTGTGACCTGATTGGCGGATATTTTTTCTAGTTTTCCATGTTGCTCACTTTAAATGTATATATTTTACAAATGAACATGGGTGGGGGGATCTTGATGATGATGTCCTTGTTCATTTTGGCAGATTTTACATTTGCACTATATATATACAATGTCAAGTAATCTTACTTGGTTAACAAGGTGATTTCTACAACTTGTTACAAAAATAACAGCAGTATTGGCCTTGATTTCCAAAGAGTTGTGGCCCTTTGATTTTCAAGGAATAAGCTTTCATTCATTTTCTCAGTGGTGCTTGGAGATATTTATCTGAAATTTTAGGTGTAGTTGTATTAGGAGGAGTTCAACATTGTCACAATTCCTAATTCCTTAAGTAACAAACATTTGCCAGGTTTTTCTAGTAAACCTCAAGGTCTCTGAACCACTTGTAACAATGACAAACATTTGATATTTTCTCCATTAGCCAGAAAAGTCCTAGGTACTCTTGTAGTTTCTCAGTCTACCATCAAGGTCACAGGAATTCTTTTAATGACATTTGATAGGATTCCCTGGTTACCATCAAGGTCACAGGAACTCTTTTAATGACAATTATTTGATAGGATTCCCTGGTTACCATCAAGGTCCCAGGAACTCTTGTAATGACAAACATCTCTCTGTATAGGATCTGGAGATAAGACATATGCGCATCACATGGTGAGGACTGACAGTAAGGAACAAAAACTTGACACTTTCCTTAGAGCACCAACCACTCAGGGAGCTGGATCCAGTAACCAAGTATCAACAACCAACAGGGAGGGAAGAGCAGACAGGAATGAAGATAATTCAGCAATAGAGGTTTTTATTGAGTAAGTTAGCATGTCTTTATGGAGACATTGACCTTTGACCTGTCCTTGTCTCCTATCCCTGCACAGTTTATTACCTGCCATAGTCTTTTGTCAGTTTAGGCTGATGTTATTAAAGATGACGTGATGAGATGTGATGGAAACTTAAACCAGTTTAAGTTTTGTCTGAGTTGGTGATAGATGGTCGTGGCAGGTGACATATGGTGATAGTGTCCACAGGAGGATCAATGCCATGTTTGACCAGACTGACCATAATTAATATAAACTGTCCATTATTAGTATTGATTGTTCAGTATTAGTATAATTAAACTTTCAATATCAGTCAAACTGTGCAATATATTAGTCTAGAGAATTAGATCAACCAGACACCCTAATGCTTGGAAGTGATATGAGTGGGGTCTCTCTAAGCATTGTGGGGCATCTTTATAAACAGCTCCTCTCCCACAAGGGTGGGTAAAATGTGGGCCAGTTTGGTGATAATCAGTAATTATTGCAAGGAATTGTGAGTTTGATGTTCTCTCCCTATTAAAGTCTAGAATCACAAGAGAAATATTTCTTTGGTTTGAGTTCTGATTAAATGCTCCTAAATGACATTTATATTGTCATATATGTTTCATACAGCAAAGAGCAAACTACAAGTTCAAAAGAGGATACTGAGCCAAAAACACAACAAAAACAGCGTCAAATAAAGCTGTCCAGTGTACTCTCCCTTCAGCAGACTGTAAAAGATGACGCCCATAAAGGTAAGGATCAAACTAATGAATTATCAGTTACTTAACTAGACTAAAACCTGAGACAATTAACAGACTGGAAGATCAAAGGTCTGTTGCCTATTACAGTCAACAGTCTATAGCCTGGGACAGTCAACAATCTATAGCCTGGGACAGTCAACAGCCTATAGCCTAGTACAGTCAACAGTCTATAGCCTGGGACAGTCAACAGTCTATAGTCTGGGACAGTCAACAGTCTATGGTATGGACAGTCAACAGTCAATAGTCTTGGACAGTCAACAGTCTATAGCCTGGACAGCCTACAGTCTATAGCCTGGGACAGTCAACAGTCTGTAGCAAGGGACAGTCAACAGTCTATAGCCTGGGACAGTCAACAGTCAATAGCCTTGGACAGTCAACAGTCTATAGTCTGGGACAGTCTACAGTCTATAGTCTGGGACAATCGACAGCCTATAGCCTGGGACAGTCAACAGTCAATAGCCTTGGACAGTCAACAGTCTATAGCCTGGGACAGACGACAGTCTATAGTCTGGGACAGTAAACAGTCTATAGCCTGGGACAGTCAACAGCCTATAGCCTGGGACAGTCAACAGTCTGTTGCCTGGACAGTCAACAGTCTATAGCCTGGGACAGTCAACAGTCAATAGCCTTGGACAGTCAACAGTCTATAGCCTGGGACAGACGACAGTCTATAGTCTGGGACAGTAAACAGTCTATAGCCTGGGACAGTCAACAGCCTATAGCCTGGGACAGTCAACAGTCTGTTGCCTGGAGAGTCTGCAGTCTATAGCCTGGGACAGTCAACAGCCTATAGCCTGGGACAGTCAACAGTCTGTTGCCTGGACAGTCTGCAGTCTATAGCCTGGGACAGTCAACAGTCTATAGCCTGGGACAGTCAACAGTCTGTAACCTGGGACAGTAAACAGTCTATAGTCTGGGACAGTCTACAGTCTATAGTCTGGGACAATCGACAGCCTATAGCCTGGGACAGTCAACAGTCAATAGCCTTGGACAGTCAACAGTCTATAGCCTGGGACAGACGACAGTCTATAGTCTGGGACAGTAAACAGTCTATAGCCTGGGACAGTCAACAGCCTATAGCCTGGGACAGTCAACAGTCTGTTGCCTGGACAGTCAACAGTCTATAGCCTGGGACAGTCAACAGTCAATAGCCTTGGACAGTCAACAGTCTATAGCCTGGGACAGACGACAGTCTATAGTCTGGGACAGTAAACAGTCTATAGCCTGGGACAGTCAACAGCCTATAGCCTGGGACAGTCAACAGTCTGTTGCCTGGACAGTCTGCAGTCTATAGCCTGGGACAGTCAACAGTCTGTAATCTGGGACAGTTAACATTCTGTAACCTGGGACAGTAAACAGTCAATAGCCTTGGACAGTCAACAGTCTATAGTCTGGGACAGTCAACAGTCTATAGCCTGGGACAGTCGACAGTCTATAGTCTGGGACAGTCAACAGCCTATAGTCTGGGACAATCGACAGCCTATAGCCTGGGACAGTCAACAGTCTGTAGCCTGGGACAGCCAACAGACTATAGCCTGGTACAGTCAACAGTCAACAGTCTGGACAGTCAACAGTCTATAGCCTGGTACAGTCAACAGTCAACAGTCTGGACAGTCAACAGTCTATAGCCTGGGACAGTCAACAGTCAACAGTCTGGACAGTCAACAGTCTATAGCCTGGTACAGTCAACAGTCAACAGTCTGGACAGTCAACAGTCTATAGCCTGACAGTCAACAGTCTATAGCCTGGTACAGTCAACAGTCAACAGTCTGGACAGTCAACAGTCTATAGCCTGGTACAGTCAACAGTCAACAGTCTGGACAGTCAACAGTCTATAGCCTGGTACAGTCAACAGTCAACAGTCTGGACAGTCAACAGTCTATAGCCTGGGACAGTCAACAGTCTATAGTCTGGGACAGTCAACAGTCTATAGCCTGAGACAGCCAACAGACTATAGCATGGGACAGTCAACAGTCTATAGCCTGGTACAGTCAACAGTCAACAGTCTGGACAGTCAACAGTCTATAGCCTGGTACAGTCAACAGTCAACAGTCTGGACAGTCAATAGTCTATAGCCTGGTACAGTCAACAGTCAACAGTCTGGACAGTCAACAGTCTATAGCCTGGGACAGTCAACAGTCTATAGTCAGGGACAGTCAACAGTCTATAGTCTGGGACAGTCAACAGTCTATAGCCTGAGACAGCCAACAGACTATAGCATGGGACAGTCAACAGTCTATAGCCTGGGACAGTCAACAGTCTATAGTCTGGACAGTCAACCGTCTATAGCCTGGGACAGTCTGCAGTCTATAGCCTGGGACAGTCAACAGTCTGTAGCCTGAGACAGCCAACAGACTATAGCATGGGACAGTCAACAGTCTATAGCCTAGGACAGTCAACAGTCTATAGCCTGGGACAGTCAACAGTCAATAGTCTGGGACAGTCAACAGTCTATATTCTGGGATAGTTGACAGTCTATAGTCTTGGACAGTCGACAGCCTATAGCCTGGGACAGTTAACAGTCTATAGCCAAGGACAGTCAACAGTCAATAGTCTGGGACAGTTAACATTCTGTAACCTGGGACAGTAAACAGTCAATAGCCTTGGACAGTCAACAGTCTATAGTCTGGGACAGTCAACAGTCTATAGCCTGAGACAGCCAACAGACTATAGCATAGGACAGTCAACAGTCTATAGCCTGGGACAGTCAACAGTCTATAGTCTGGACAGTCAACCGTCTATAGCCTGGGACAGTCTGCAGTCTATAGCCTGGGACAGTCAACAGTCTGTAACCTGGGACAGTAAACAGTCAATAGCCTTGGACAGTCAACAGTCTATAGTCTGGGACAGTCAACAGTCTATAGCCTGGGACAGTCGACAGTCTATAGTCTGGGACAGTCAACAGCCTATAGTCTGGGACAATCGACAGCCTATAGCCTGGGACAGTCAACAGTCTATAGCCTGGGACAATCAACAGTCTATAGCCTGGGACAGTCTGCAGTCTATAGCCTGGGACAGTCAACAGCCTTAAACAGGAGCTAGATAATTTTTAATCTCTGGCATAATTATGTTGATCACCAGAGTGTGTAAGCAGATAAGCTGATATTCTGAATGGCTTGTTACTTACACATATATTAAAAGTCAGCTGGGGATGAAATCAAAACCTATTTTAATTTCCAAAATTTGAAAAAAAATCTTATACAGCATTAGGATACAAAGTAGACAGGTGTTTAGAGTGTCTCTCTCTGGGACTAAAGATCAGAATGTATAATGTCATTCTGATTTACCACTTAAACCCTCAGACACATTGATGTTCTCTTGCTACTCCCATGTGTCCAAGTAAACACATGCTGCATAAAACTGCCTATAGAGCCCTCCAAATGTAGAAACACAGATGAAAGGATAAAATGCTTTTATGCCTGAGATAAGAATGAGGTAATATATAAATCAATAGAGATTCTGATTAACGGCATTACAAAGCGTATTGTAAGCCCTTTATGGATAAGCATGATAATGTCTTGGATTTCATTGAATGGTGAAGTTATAATGACGGTGAAGTAGAAGCAGTCTTTACTCACAGCATTATCGCGTAACATAGAGAATCCCGCATACTCAAAATTATACAACACAGACGGTTAGATCACCTCTGGAAATTATAAGTGTCTTTCATAACAAAAACAAGGTTATTGGTGTCAACAGGGGAGAGGGGATGGGGGTTATACTAGAATCAGTTCATCTGTCTACAGGGGGGTTATACTAGAATCAGTTCATACATCTGTCTACAAGGGGGGTATACTAGAATCAGTTCATACGTCTGTCTACAGGGGGGTTATACTAGAATCAGTTCATACATCTGTCTACAAGGGGGGTATACTAGAATCAGTTCATCTGTCTACAGGAGGTTATACTAGAATCAGTTCATACATCTGTCTACAGGGGGGTTATACTAGAATCAGTTCATACGTCTGTCTACAGGGGGGTTATACTAGAATCAGTTCATACATCTGTCTACAGAGGGATTATACTAGAATCAGTTCATCTGTCTACAGGAGGTTATACTAGAATCAGTTCATACATCTGTCTACAGGGGGTTATACTAGAATCAGTTCATACATCTGTCTACAAGGGGTTATACTAGAATCAATTCATACATCTGTTTAGCTGATTACAGTCAACCTTATAGCATTTTATGACTGGTCTATGTCTGGATATATTTTTTGTGGTTTTTTTGACAGTTTGATGCTGTGGTTACCAAAACCGTAGCTACTGATTTCCACAGATGACTTCCAGAAATCTATCTTGTGTTATCAATGTTGTACAGACTTCTCAGATGGGTCATTCTCGTTAAAACAGAAAATGTCTGTGTAAATCAGGTCATTGCCAATAAATGTAGCTTATCATGTGAAATGTGCAGCTCTGTTTACTTTATGATGGCTTCCATAAACAAACAAAGGCCTTGAATTAAGAACTGGTTTGTATAGTCCATTATTTTTTAAGGAGATGGGGGGATATTTTCTCTATTTTGTGGTACAGTAATGTGATGATGAAAATCTATTCCATAAAATGCTGAGACATATGTATTCATGTATGTATGTCCGTCCGTCCATCCATCCGTCCGTCCTTCCTTCCTTCCTTCCTTCCTTCCTTCCTTCCTCCTTCCATCCTTCCTTCCTTCCCTCCCTTGTTAACATTGATCATACAAAGCCTATGTACTTACTAAATTCATGGCCTACAACCCCTTATTAACAGAGTTTTGTGTCCTGAGTATAGTGTGGCCTGCATTAAAACTAAGGTAATGAAACTAGGTGTGGTCATTCTATGACAATGTGCCATGTACCAAATTCAGAGCCTGTAACCCCACAATTACAAAGTTATTGTCCTTCCTTAAACCTTTTGTGTCTTTGCTTTCATTTAAACTAGGATAATGACACTTGGTCTTTACATTGGTCATACAGAAAGGATTTCAAGTTACCAAGTTCAAGGCCTGAGATGCCTTAATTACAGTATTATTGCCCTTTGTTAAAATTTTGCATCCAAAAAAGTTGTTATTTGGGGAGCATTCTTCACTTTCACTGATACTCTTGTTTATTCTCTGTAGTGATATGTTGCTGTGTGTAGTGTATGTATAGTAAATTTGTTGTCTGAATTTCAATATTTCAGGTCTGACTGAAATGTTCCGCAATCACAAGTTTGTTGGTTGTGTCAATGAGGAATTTTCTTTAATACAACATCAGACAATGTTGTTTTTAGTGAACACAACAACAGTTAGGTAAGTACACAAATGCTACTACTCCTATCTCTCAATTGTATAATTGTACCAATGTTGGTCCAGCATTCAGATAGTGGGCTAATCAAAATGCCCTATATTTTTGGTTTTTGGTCTGTGATCTTCGGACGTAAGGCTGTAGTCCATCATACGTCATTAAACAGTTCTTCCTTTTTTATATTTGCTGACAGGCAGCCATCTTATATTCTAACAATGTATGTTAGTCACCATTATTTCTTGAGAATAAACTGGAGGAATATTTCTCAGATTTCATAAGTAGTTTCCCCATGTTCCCTGAATTATGCTTTTTTGATTTTGGGAGTGATCAGAAAAGCAAAATAGCTGACAGGGGACCAAATTTCATTTGACAGATCAAGATTATTTTTGCTTTTTTCTTATGTGGACCTCTCAAGTTTCCTATAATCTAGAGCCAATAAAAGGAAAAAAGAGAAAAAGAACTGAAAAGAGAAAACTTTTAAAGGACAAATGAATATCAAGCAATGGTACATGCCAACATCCCTCTAGGATATCTTGTAGTTTGTGGTGTTTTGATGGGTTTTTTGTTTTTATTTCAGTAAAGAGCTATTCTACCAAATCCTTCTTTTTGACTTTGGTAACTTTGGAAACCTGAGGCTTTCGGTAAGAATGCTGTATATAAGTTCAGATTGATGTTTAAATAACCCTGCACCTTCACACGGCCACTATTTTTTCCTCTATTTGTATGATAATGATAACCTTCATTAATTTACAACAATTACATATTAAATATTATATCAATCACTCTTGTTACCTGGGGAAAACCAACGTGATCGGGCAGGTGACCCCATGCCTTTTCATATCCATTCTGGGAATCAAACCCCGGACAGCTAGGTGAAAGGCGAGTGCGTTACCACTGTGCCACCTGACCACCAAATTTCCTCCATTGGTCCTTTATCTGTCCATTAACAATGTCCATCACTTGATCTTTCTTGCTTCGTCTGTGTCTGTAAAAATTTGTATCTCATGTTCAAATGAAAGGATTTTGACCAAATTTGGTCAAGAGTGTCCTTAAACATAGAAACAGGATCCAAGAAGATAAATTAGATAATTTTAGGTCACCTGAGACAAATTGACTCAAATTTCTAAATTCCTCTTTTCAATACTGACATAGGGTAGAACTAAATGATTTTCATTGATGTTAGGGTCATGTAAGGGTAAGATGCTGTATATAAATTGTAAATTTCCTCATATTTCCCCCTGCAGAGGGGGTATAGTTTACCAAAGTTTATATAGGAAAATTACATTTTTGAGCATAATTTCATTTGAAATAGTTTTCAATCTTGGTTTTAAATATTAGTATAGGATAACAGTTTGATAACATGAATATATTGATCCTGACTGACCCCAACAGCTGATGGGTGGGACCAAAAAAGGTCAAATTGACTCAAAATCCAAAATTTCCTTCTTAACAGCAATTATTGTAGAATCAATAGTCTTTATGGATGAAAAAGGTATCAAGGCGCTTCACTAAATTAGTGGAATTCATGACCCCAGTGCCCAACATTCTCCCTGGGAGGGCTGGGTTCTCCCTAGGAACCACTGCTCCTGGGACTCATAATATGTATGAAATAGAGTTAAACTTTCGTAATTTTGGGGTCCTTTGTCAATTTAAGGAATCGAAATGATGGTTTGTGAGGGTTAGTGGAAAACCCTGACGGGGGAAAAGTTTAATGTAGTTTTTATAAGAAAGTGGCATTTCTGAGCCTAAATTTGTTTATTTTCTTCAGTAATAAGTCAAACTTGGTGTATAGGTTTGATGGTATGCCGATATTGAAACTGGCCGACTCCCTGGGGCTTAAATCATATCCTTTAAATCTTATTAAAATCAATATTACAATTGATTTTTCGTGACACTTGACTAGATACCCTAATGACTTTTATGTTAATATTACCTCAGGGCACTGTTAAGGTTGTCAGGCCTTTTGCTGGTTTCAGGCCTCTACTCAGGACACTGTTCAGGCTGCTAGGCATTTTGTTGACTTAAAACTTCTACTCAGATTGCTGCTTAGGTTGTCAGGCATTTTGTTGGTTTCAAACCTCTACTCAGGACACTGTTAAGGCTGCAAGGCATTTTGTTGACTTCTAATCTCTACTCAGGGCACTGTTCAGACTACTAGGCATTTTGTTGACTTTTAATCTCTACTCAGGACACTGTTAAGGCTGCTAGGCCTTTTATTGACTTTTAATCTCTACTCAGGACACTGTTAAGGCTGTAAGGCCTTTTGTTGACTTTTAATCTCTACTCAGGTTGCTGTTAAGGCTGTAAGGCCTTTTGTTGACTTTTAATCTCTACTCAGGTTGCTGTTAAGGCTGCAAGGCCTTTTGTTGGCTTCAAACCTCTATACAGGTCACTGTTAAGGCTGCTAGGCCTTTTGTTGGCTTCAAACTTCCATTCAGATCATTGTTTTTACTGCTAGGCCTTTTATTGGCTCAAACTTTCACTCAGGTCACTGTTAAAGCTGTCAGGCCTTTAGTTGGCTTAAACTTCCACTCAGGTCACTGTTAAGACTGCTAGGCCCTTTGTTGGATTTCAACTTGTACTCTGGTCACTGTTTAGACTGCTAGGCCTTTTGATGACTTAAACTTCCACTCAGGTCCCTGTTAAGGCTGCTAGGCCTTTTGTTGGCCTATACCTCTACTCAGGTCACTGTTAAGGCTGCCAGGCCTTTTGTTGACTTCAAATTACTACTCAGGTCACTGTGAAGGCTGTCAGGCCTTTTGTTGGACTATTCCTCTACTCAGGTCACTGTTAAGGCTGCTAGGCCTTCTGTTGGCCTATACCTCTATTCAGGATACTGTTAAGGCTGCTAGGCCTTTTGTTGGCCTATACCTCTACTCAGGACACTGTTAAGGCTGCCAGGCCTTTTGTTGGCCTATACCTCTACTCAGGTCACTGTTAAGGCTGCTAGGCCTTCTGTTGGCCTATACCTCTACTCAGGATACTGTTAAGGCTGCTAGGCCTTTTGTTGGCCTATACCTCTACTCAGGACACTGTTAAGGCTGCCAGGCCTTTTGTTGGCCTATACCTCTACTCAGGTCACTGTTAAGGCTGCTAGGCCTTTTGTTGTACTATACCTGTGCTCAGGACACTGTTAAGGCTGCCAGGCCTTTTGTTGACTTTAAACTTCTGCTCAGGTCACTGTTAAGGCTGCTAGGCCTTTTGTTGGCCTATACCTCTACTCAGGTCACTGTTAAGGCTGCTAGGCCTTTTGTTGGCCTATACTTGTGCTCAGGACACTGTTAAGGCTGCCAGGCCTTTTGTTGACTTTAAACTTCTGCTCAGGTCACTTTTGTTTGCCTATACCTCTTCTCTTGAGACTGTTAAGGCTGTAAGGCCTTTTGTTGGCCTATACCTCTGCTCAGGTCACTGTTAAGGCTGCTAGGCCTTTTGTTGGCCTATACCTCTACTCAGGTCACTGTTAAGGCTGCTAGGCCTTTTGTTGGCCTATACCTCTACTCAGGTCACTGTTAAGGCTGCTAGGCCTTTTGTTGGCCTATACCTCTACTCAGGACACTGTTAAGGCTGTAAGGCCTTTTGTTGGCCTATACCTGTGCTCAGGACACTGTTAAGGCTGCCAGGCCTTTTGTTGGCCTATATCTCTGCTCAGGTCACTGTTAAGGCTGCTAGGCTTTTTGTTGGCCTATACCTCTGCTCAGGACACTGTTAAGGCTGCCAGGCCTTTTGTTGGCCTATACCTCTGCTCAGGTCACTGTTAAGGCTGCTAGGCCTTTTGTTGGCCTATACCTGTGCTCAGGACACTGTTAAGGCTGTCAGGCCTTTTGTTGACTTTAAACTTCTGCTCAGGTATGAAACAAAAATAAGAACAAGAAAATATTCCCCATTATTTACGTGATTGTCGTCCCTTTATGAGTGTTATTGACTGTTAGAGTTATCTTCCCTGGATGTGTGTTATTTATCATTGGAGTTGTCTTCTCTTTGTATGTGTTATTTATTTTGGCATCATCTCCCTTTAATATACTTCTTTACTGTTGGGGATACATTCCATTTATTGTTCTTATTTACTTTGAGAGTTATCTCCCCTTTATGTTCATTGTTTACTTAGGTTTTCTGTCAGAATTATCTCCTCATTCCATGAGCTATCCCTTGTAGGAACCAGCACCTATATATGAACTGGCTATGCTTGCCCTTGACCTTGAGGAAAGTGGTTGGATTGAGGCTGATGGCCCTAAAGAGGATCTAGCGACCTACATTGTGGACTTTCTCTCCAGTAAACGGGAGATGTTAGAAGATTACTTCTCCATGGAAATAGACCAGGTATATAAACATAGATTTGGTGGATTGTGTTAATATATCAAGATTTAGGCAATCTGACATGAAGAGTCAGGATAACCTACAACTATTGTGTTTCCTCTGTCACCATGTACTGTCTGCCTCTGCTTGAAATGGTCCTGAGGTGGTCTTGACCAAGTGTTGTTATTTTTCAGGTCAGTCTGAAATCCAGTATGACAGCTCTCTTGAAAAACCTAGTTTTATCTTCTTATGATGTTCCATAAGTACCATAAAGCTGAAATTGGGTAGGGATATAGATGAAATAAACCAATGAAGTGTTGTTATTTTTTGGCCTCATCAAAAGTTCAGTATGGCTGCTATAGTGTAACAATGATTGCCCAATCATGGTTTCCCTGAACCATACACATTTTAAATTTCTCCTGAAGTTCCACCACTGTGATTGAGCTGAAAATTGCCTGAAATGATTGGTCAGAAATCTAAAATGACTGCCATGGCAGCTATCTTGAAAAACACATTTTAAAATTTATCCCTATAGTTCAATGCAGTGATGCCTCTTGTCTGAAATTCTGTGAGAATATTAAGATACTGCTAAAATATTCCGAACTGTTTTCATCAGTTAATATTTGTTCACATTACACCACTACTGTTACCATTGTATCATTTATCAGCCTTGATAGTCAGATGACTGTTAAGGTCATTGGCCTTTTGACCTTGTTCTGATAAGGGTCTCTTGTGCATGTCAAAATAAAAAAAATGTTTCGAAATTGAGAACAGCTGGACCATATGGCCTCCACAATCTGATATACTTGTCTTGAAGGACAATTCTAGTCTTATTTGTTTTTAAAGTACATTTGTACTCTGATAAAAAATAAAGACATTTGTTGATTAGCATGTTTTTTATCTGAATGTTCAATTTGAAGACGAGATTATTATATAAAATACAAGGCAATTACTAGTATGTAATATAAAAACAGGGAAGTTTGAGTTTAATCAATATGGTGTTTTGGTTTATGGCTGAGAAAATCCCTCCACTGTGATTGGCTCTGAAGTCTCCTACAGGTTCTGACAAAATACAATGTTAACATGAAACCAGTGAATTCCTACATGAGAGGTTAACATCACAAATTGATAACCTTGTCAAAAAATGGTAACAGGTAATTTACATGTCAAGATGTACTTTTCACCAATAAGAAGACAGCATTCTCTGTTTACAAACATGGCGGATGACCAGAGCTTGAGTCACACACAAGGTCAAGAAAGCCGATTTGACACTAAGAACATGAAACGTTCCAAATAATCTGATATACACTTAACCATGTTGTCAGAAATAGGACAGCTGAATTTGCAATGCAGAAAACTTTCATTTTTTTTCCAACTCACATCTTAAATGCCATGTCATATAACAAAACAGTCATTGACCTTCTGTAGGTTAATACAAGGTCTTGTTAACCTTTGAAAGGTGATATGTCCCTGGGCCTGCAGCCTCCCAGATTATCACCTTTCCAAGGTTATCAAATCTTGTATAAACAACATAACATCAATAATTGTATTGACCTGGTAGAAAAATACTGACCTCCGACTTTTTCTGCCTGGACAGTATAACACTATCAATATTTGCTGAATCAAAATTGTTTAAAATATGAATTTAAATATTATGTAAAGTGAGAGACATATTGGTAGGTACATATTGTTGATAGACTTTCTGTGTAAACTATTATTATTCCATTCTTAGTGGGATATCAACACATAAAACATCATTAGGGCCATCAAACGGTAAAACACACAACGATCCAAAAAGAAATAACATTAAACAAACCAAAAGGTTTCTGTGTAAACAATCGTTTGTATAATGTCTATGGTTTGTTGTAGAATGGTAACCTGTGTACTGTGCCGATGTTGTTAGAGAACTTTGTATAATGTCTATGGTTTGTTGTAGAATGGTAACCTGTGTACCGTGCCGATGTTGTTAGAGAACTTTGTGCCTGATATGGATGGCCTACCTATGTATATACTTCGCCTTGCAACAGAGGTAACTGGGTAAAACTTACTTAAACCTGGATATTTTAGAAGTTTTGGTTTTGAAAGTGTTAATGAAACACTATAAGTTATTGATATAGTTATAAAGGTGCAAACATCAATTTATATTTCTGCTAATCCACTTGTAAATGATAATTTGATCTTGGATTTCGATTTTGAAAGTTTGTTTTTGCTACTTCTTGTCCATCGTAGATTTAGGAGGATAAAAATGATGGATCTATGGAAACATTAGGATATCAGTTGTTCTATTTATTTGGTGTCCTTGTTTCTTCCAACAAATTCTCCTGAATAACCAGGGATCATAAAATTATGATGTTGCCCATCTAGCCTACTTAAAAAAGGGTGATCTTGACCCACCTTTAAGGTCACAGGGGTCAAATTTTTTGAAATCTAAACATTTTGGGAATCTATATTTTTGGCACAAATGTGTATAGCATCTAGATCTTTAGCTCTTATTATCAAAACATATTTGATGCTTCAGTCATTTAATGAAATTTTTGATTCCTACAGGTTGACTGGGATGTTGAAAAGATTTGTTTTGAGAGTTTTGCCAGAGAAACCAGCAATTTCTACTGTGTGAAGAAAAGTTTATTTGTTCCGACCACAGAAAGCGTGGTAAGTAACTTGTTTACCTGTATAACTGTTAGTCAGGGATGTGTTAGTTATCATACAAATTTTACCTGTATAACTGGTAGTCAGGGATATGTTTATTATCATACGAATTTTACCTGTATAACTGGTAGTCAGGGATGTGTTTATTATCATACAAAATTTACCTGTATAACCGGTAGTCAGGGATATGTTTATTATCATACAAATTTTACCTGTATAATCAGTAGTCAAGGATATGTTAATTACCATACAAATTTTACCTGTATAACAGGTAGTCAGGGATATGTTTATTATCATACAAATTTTACCTGTATAACTGGTAGTCAGGGATATGTTAATTACCATACAAATTTTACCTGTATAACTGGTAGTCAGGGATATGTTAATTATCGTACAAATTTTACCTGTATAACTGGTAGTCAGGGATATGTTTATTATACAAATTTTACCTGTATAACTGGTAGTCAGGGATATGTTTATTATCATACAAATTTTACCTGTATAACTGGTAGTCAGGGATATGTTTATTACCATACAAATTTTACCTGTATAACTGGTAGTCAGGGATATGTTTGTTATACAAATTTTACCTGTATAACTGGTAGTCAGGGATATGTTTATTATCATACAAATTTTACCAGTATAACTGGAAGTCAGGGATATGTTTATTATACAAATTTTACCTGTATAACTGGTAGTCAGGATTATGTTAATTATACAAATGTTACCTGTGTAACTGGTAGTCAGGGATATGTTAATTATACAAATTTTACCTGTATAACTGGTAGTCAGGGATATGTTTATTATACAAATTTTACCTGTATAACTGGTAGTCAGGGATATGTTTATTATCATACAAATTTTACCTGTATAACTGGTAGTCAGGGATATGTTTATTATACAAATTTTACCTGTATAACTGGTAGTCAGGGATATGTGTATTATACAAATTTTACCTGTATAACTGGTAGTCAGGGATATGTGTATTATACAAATTTTACCTGTATAACTGGTAGTCAGGGATATGTGTATTATACAAATTTTACCTGTATAACTGGTAGTCAGGGATATGTGTATTATACAAATTTTACCTGTATAACTGGTAGTCAGGGATATGTTTATTATACAAATTTTACCTGTATAACTGGTAGTCAGGGATATGTTTATTATACAAATTTTACCTGTATAACTGGTAGTCAGGGATATGTTTATTACCATACAAATTTTACCTGTATAACTGGTAGTCAGGGATATGTTTATTATCATACACATTTTACCTGTATAACTGGTAGTCAGGGATATGTTTATTAGACAAATTTTACCTGTATAACTGGTAGTCAGGGATATGTTAATTATACAAATTTTACCTGTATAACTGGTAGTCAGGGATATGTTTATTAGGTCATCTGACCCGAAGGGTCCGATGACCTATAGTCATCATGCTTCGTCCGTCGTCGTCCGCCGTCGTGCGCCGTCCGTAAACTTTTCATTCAAACGACTTCTTCTCAAATACTAGAAGGTCTAGGGGGCTAATACTTGGCACAGAGGATACTGGCATGGAGCTCTACCAAGTTTGTTCAAATGAATGACCTCAACCCACTTTCAAGGTCACAGGGGTCAAATATGTTAAAATCTTTAAACAACTTCTTCTCATTAACCAAAAGGCTCAGAGTGTAGATATTGGGCCTGTGACATGCTGGGATGAAGGACTACCAAGTTTGTTCAAATGAATGACCTTGACCCACTTTAAAGGTCACAGGGGTCAAATATGTTAAAATCTTTAAACAACTTCTTCTCAATAACCAAAAGGCTCAGATTGCTGATATTGTGCCTGTGGCATGCTGGGATGAAGGGCTATCAAGTTTGTTTAAATGAATGACCTTGAACAACTTTCAAGGTCACAGGGGTCAAATATGTCAAAATCTTTAAATAACTTCTTCTCAAATACTAGAAGGCCTAGGGGGCTAATACTTGGCCCATAGCATGCTGGCATATGGAGCCTCAATACAAAGTTTGTTCAAATGAATGACCTTGGCCCACTTTCAAGGTCACAGGGGTCAAATATGTTAAAATATACAAACGACTTCTTCTCAACAAGCAAAAGTCCACGAGTGCTGATATTGGGCCTGTAAGATGCTTGGAGGAGAGGCTACCAAGTTTGTTCAAATGAATGACCTCAACCCACTTTCTAGGTTTGGCTTGCTTTTTGTCAGATGACCGTTAAGGCCCATGGGCCTCTTGTTATCATACAAATTTTACCTGTATAACTTGTAGTCAGGGATATGTTTATTATACAAATTTTACCTGTATAACTGGTAGTCAGGGATATGTTTATTATCATACAAATTTTACCTCTATAACTGGTAGTCAGGGATATGTTTATTATCCATATTTTATTATTAGTTTTAGATAGTTGTCTTTACCATCTTGTGTATTCTGAAATAATCATAGATACAAAATTCTCCTCAACAAGTTGTTGCATAATTTATGGCCTGATTTTCAATTTATGTTGGACTTAAGGATTCTTAAAAAACACACAGCATGTAATTATCATCAAAATATGGTCATGTATAGAACTATGAGATCTTGATTCCAGACACTCAATCAAAACCACAGATTACTCCATGTTTCAGGGATTTGAAGGAGAATTTCAGACCAAATAGGGTCTAATGTGTAGTAGTCTGTGTTGTCAATTATACAAGGAGAATTTCAGACCAAATAGGGGCCAATATGAAGTTGTGCGTGTTGTCAATTATACAAGGAGAATTTCAGACCAAATAGGGGCCAATATGAAGTTGTGCGTGTTGTCAATTATACAAGGAGAATTTCAGACCAAATAGGGGCCAATATGAAGTTGTGCGTGTTGTCAGTTATCAGATTAAATAGGTACCAATGGTAAGTAGTCTGTGTTGTAAGTTATACAAGGAGAATTTCAGACGAGATAAGAGCTGATTTTAATCAGCATCACCAATGATACATGGTATTGATCATATTTCCTTTTCCAATTTCAGGACAAGTATAAATGGTGTACAGAACATGTGTTGTATCCAGCCCTCAGAACATCAATTTTACCGCCATCTTCTTTGGCAAACGACTCAAGTATCCTACAGATTGCTAACCTGCCTGACCTGTATAAAGTGTTTGAGAGATGTTGATTTGTTCTGCCCATGAGAGATGTTGCTTTGTTCTGACCATGAGAGATGTTGATTTGTTCTGCCCATGAGAGATGTTGATTTGTTCTGCCCATGAGAGATGTTGATTTGTTCTGCCCATGAGAGATGTTGATTTGTTCTGCCCATGAGAGATGTTGATTTGTTCTGCCCATGAGAGATGTTGATTTGTTCTGCCCATGAGAGATGTTGATTTGTTCTGCCCATGAGAGATGTTGATTTGTTCTGCCCATGAGAGATGTTGATTTGTTCTGCCCATGAGAGATGTTGCTATGTTCCGCCCATGAGAGATGTTGATTTGTTCTGTCCATGAGAGATGTTGATTTGTTCAGCCCATGAGAGATGTTGATTTATTCTGCCCATGAGAGATGTTGCTATGTTCCGCCCATGAGAGATGTTGATTTGTTCTGCCCATGAGAGATGTTGATTTGTTCTGCCCATGAGAGATGTTGATTTGTTCTGCCCATGAGAGATGTTGCTTTGTTCTGACCATGAGAGATGTTGATTTGTTCTGCCCATGAGAGATGTTGATTTGTTCTGCCCATGAGAGATGTTGATTTGTTCTGCCCATGAGAGATGTTGATTTGTTCTGCCCATGAGAGATGTTGATTTGTTCTGCCCATGAGAGATGTTGCTATGTTCCGCCCATGAGAGATGTTGATTTGTTCTGCCCATGAGAGATGTTGATTTGTTCTGCCCATGAGAGATGTTGATTTATTCTGCCCATGAGAGATGTTGCTATGTTCAGCCCATGAGAGATGTTGATTTGTTCTGCCCATGAGAGATGTTGATTTGTTCAGCCCATGAGAGATGTTGATTTGTTCTGCCCATGAGAGATGTTGATTTGTTCTGTCCATGAGAGATGTTGATTTGTTCTGCCCATGAGAGATGTTGATTTGTTCTGCCCAAGACTTTCAGTGAATTTAAAGAAACGTGTAATTAACCATGTTGATTGTAAATTCTTGTTATGGTACTCGAGAGCACACTGATAAAGAAATGAATGGTATAGACCTGTCTGCATTAGGACAATTGACTTGTGTTTATGTCTACAGAAGGACGATAGTCCTGTGTTTATGTCTACAGAAGGACGATGGACCTGTGTTTATGTCTACAGAAGGAAGATAGACCTGTGTTTATGCCTTCAGAAGGACGATGGACCTGTGTTTATGTCTACAGAAGGACGATGGACCTGTGTTTATGTCTACAGAAGGACGATAGACCTGTGTTTATGTCTACAGATGGAAGATTGTCCTGTGTTTATGTCTACAGAAGGATGATGGACCTGTGTTTATGTCTACAGATGGAAGATAGTCCTGTGTTTATGTCTACAGAAGGAAGATAGACCTGTGTTTATGTCTACAGAAGGAAGATAGACCTGTGTTTATGTCTACAGAAGGAAGATAGTCCTGTGTTTATGTCTACAGAAGGAAGATAGTCCTGTGTTAATGTCTACAGAAGGACGATACATGTGTTTATGTCTACAGAAGGAAGATAGACCTATGTTTATGTCTACAGAAGGAAGATAGTCTTGTGTTTATGTCTACAGAAGGATGATAGATATGTGTTTATGTCTACAGAATGAAGATAGTCCTGTGTTTATGTCTACAGAAGGACGATAGTCCTGTGTTTATGTCTACAGAAGGACGATGGACCTGTGTTTATGTCTACAGAAGGAAGATGGACCTGTGTTTATGTCTATAGAGGGACGATAGTCCTGTGTTTATGTCTACAGAAGGAAGATAGACCTGTGTTTATGCCTTCAGAAGGACGATGGACCTGTGTTTATGTCTACAGAAGGATGATGGACCTGTGTTTATGTCTACAGATGGAAGATAGTCCTGTGTTTATGTCTACAGAAGGAAGATATACCTGTGTTTATGTCTACAGAAGGAAGATAGACCTGTGTTTATGTCTACAGAAGGAAGATAGTCCTGTGTTAATGTCTACAGAAGGACGATACATGTGTTTATGTCTACAGAAGGAAGATAGACCTGTGTTTATGTCTACAGAAGGAAGATAGACCTGTGTTTATGTCTACAGAAGGAAGATAGTCCTGTGTTTATGTCTACAGAAGGAAGATAGTCATGTGTTTATGTCTACAGAAGGATGATAGTCATGTGTTTATGTCTACAGAAGGAAGATAGACCTGTGTTTATGTCTACAGATGATAGTCCTGTGTTTATGTCTACAGAAGGAAGATAGACCTGTGTTTATGTCTACAGAAGGAAGATAGTCCTGTGTTTATGTCTACAGAAGGAAGATAGTCCTGTGTTTATGTCTACAGAAGGAAGATAGTCATGTGTTTATGTCTACAGAAGGATGATAGTCATGTGTTTATGTCTACAGAAGGAAGATAGACCTGTGTTTATGTCTACAGATGATAGTCCTGTGTTTATGTCTACAGAAGGAAGATAGTCCTGTGTTTATGTCTACAGAAGGAAGATAGTCCTGTGTTTATGTCTACAGAAGGAAGATAGTCCTGTGTTTATGTCTACAGAAGGAAGATAGTCCTGTGTTTATGTCTACAGAAGGACGATAGTCCTGTGTTTATGTCTACAGAAGGACGATGGACCTGTGTTTATGTCTACAGATGATAGTCTGTAAATGGAAACTGTTAACACAAAGGATTTTTCTTAATTCATCAAGGATCGGTTAATTCTTGAAAGGTTGAGAATAATCATGAAAGTGCTGTAGAATTCCTGTAGTAAGATCACCAGAACATTTAATACTAGTTATTCCAAAATCAGTCAGATATGAGAAGAATAGAGAGAAGGTTGATTTCTAAAATCAAGGACTGTCAGGAAATACAAGAATCTGTCCGTTTGTAACACATTGATAAATACTACAGCTGATGTGAAACTCTTCAACAAAATTGTTGGTTTTCAATAAAAGAAAGTAAAAAAATCACTTTATATTGTTTTATTTTATTTACTCAGACAAGTGTCCAAGAATTGTAAATCTAGATAAGGTTGGGAACACCTGTTGTACAAAAGTGTCCAAGAATTGTAAATCTAGGTAAGGTTGGAAACACCTGTTGTACACAAGTGTTTAAGAATTGTAAATCTAGATAAGGTTGGGAACACCTGTTGTACACAAGTGTTTAAGAATTGTAAATCTAGATAAGGTTGGGAACACCTGTTGTACACAAGTGTTTAATAATTGTAAATCTAGATAAGGTTGGGAACACCTGTTGTACACAAGTGTCCAAGATTTGTAAATCTAGATAAGGTAGGGAACACCTGTTATACACAACATGTCTAAAAATCATAAGGGAGGTTATTCTCGGTTATAGGATAAGAAAACACAATAGTAGTTTAATTGTTATTCATATGTGCAACAGTTAACAGATACAATATAATAATATTCACAAGTTATGAACACATCATACACAAACATTCAATTTCTTCTCAGACATAAAGTCTCTGTCAGATTGTCCGGTGCTGATGAACACCAAACTTTCTGCAGCAGCATGTAGTGGTAGAACCCAGACACTAGAAATAGCCCTGATTTTCCAACAGCTGCATCCACTGATAGGTTTCCAAATAGAACACAGACTCAAGATCAATGGTCTGTCTGCTCAGCTGTCCAACACGGCCAAGTCCTTGATTTAAACACCTGGCTTTATCACTATGCCTTTAACAAACAAACATCTGTGTCTGGTGATCCACTTTTTAGCAGTTAAGCTGCTCGGGAAGCTTGTCTAATGTGACGACGCAGCATCTTACAACATCCTTATTTTGATGTTGCAAAACAATTACACATTCACACATTGTCACATAACTACCAAACATGTTATTATTCAAGGGTATAAATTCCTAAACATGGCCATGGTGAAGTAAAACATTTCTCTATTTTCAGACTGTAATCAACTTTTTCCATCATTTTTTTTTTTTTTTTTCTAATTCTTGGTATTCATTCATATAGATAGTAAATTGTGTGTTAAAATGAATGGGAAAAAATTAGCATAGAAACATAAAATAAAAAGTTTAAAGCAGTTTCACTTTACCATACAAGGTTTATTTCACAATGGTTCACTTTACCATACAAGGTTTATTTCACAATGGTTCACTTTACCATACAAGGTTTATTTCACAATGGTTCACTTTACCATACAAGGTTTATTTCACAATGGTTCACTTTACCATACAAGGTTTATTTCACAATGGTTCACTTTACCATACAAGGTTTATTTCACAATGGTTCACTTTACCATACAAGGTTTATTTCACAATGGTTCACTTTACCAGGGGCTTCACTTTATCATACTACACGTTATATCCTGGGGACCCTCAGTATTTCTTTATGATAAACAGACTTCATTAAAACAAGCATCATTAAAACCAGGCATGTATGTTGGTTAGCTTTCGAAAGTTATCCCCGTTACTGGTGATGTGTCATTTAAACAAAGATGTCTTATATAATTGCCAACAACGGGGTTAGGTTAATGTTGCTCAATGTCATGGTTAATTTCTTGATTGTAAACATTTATATTTTGGCAAGAACTGACCATTTCCTCATGCCTTTACAAGTTTCACCTTTCACTCAAAGCTGGATCTGATTTCAGAATACTTTGGCAACTTATTACATACTTAAATACATACTATCATTTCACGGTCAAGTAACTCTGTGCATTCACGCCTGACAAACCAGGTGTGTATATGATATTTGGATACAATAAGTTGAAAAATTAACTATAATGGAGACTGAATAGATCATTCATAAAACATGGGATTTCAGAACAGATGATTAATTTTATGTAAGAGATAAATACATGAATTGAAAAGGAAATCGGACAGGGATTGTGTTTGTGTTCATACAAAAATAGTTTCCATGGTATCCTAGTTCATTATATGTGGGTCACATTGTACTTTGTATTTGTCTGTAAGGTTCCTTGGATGAAGCCCAACAATGTTTGTGTAAAGATATATGACCTTCACCTATAATCAAGGTCACAGTTATCAGATTTTTAAAAACATTTAAACAATTTCTTCAGATTAACCAAAACGCCTACATGTTACCATGGATGAAGCCAGACAAAGTTTGAGAAAAGAAATTACCTTGAGTTCTATTCAAGGTACCAGCCCGGAGGGGTCATATTCATACAAGCTTGTTGGTTCATTGGATGAAGTTCAACAAAGTTTAGGAAAAGAAATCTTAAAATTTTCAAGTGACTTACTTCTTCTCATTAACCAACATTTTGAATTTTAATGATGCAACCAATCGATGTATTCATGAAAATTATCAAATTCCTGATGAGTAATGCAGGCTCATGGGGGCCTCTTGTTTTTCCTTATTATTAAATGACTCTGTGATCTAAAAGATTTCTTATGCTCATGTCAATTGTCTTGTTGACTGTCAACTTTTTACAAAAAATTGTTACTAGTGATGAACCACTTAATGGATTTTGACCATATTTGGTGAGAAGCATCTTTTGGGAAAGTGGTAGCAAATTTGTTTAAATAATGGTTTTCAGTTCCCAGGAAACTGAGTAGCATGGTCCAAAAGGGAAAATTTAGTAAGTTCTTTAAATTTCTTCTCCTTTAAGAATGAGTTTATTTTGTCAAATAGTCTGAAGCATCCTTTGGTAAAGAAAAACAGTTTTGTATTAACAGTGGATTTCAGCTTGTGGCCAAATAGAGGCAAAAAGCAAATTCTTTTCCTTATTTGGTGGGAAGCATCATTGGATGAAGAAGAATCAATTCTGTATAAATGGTGGGTCTAATTGCCATGGTACCTAATAGGGGAAATAGAGCAAATTCTTTAAAATCCTTAATCTTCTCTGGGAATTTGTAGATCCAGTCCCAATTTTATCTAAAGCATCCATGGGTAAAGTGAAATTCATTTTGTATACAAGTGGATCTTATCCCCATGGGATGGAATGGGATGAGCAGGCCCCAAAAGGGAAAATAGAGCAATGCTGTGAAAAGTCATTTCTGCTGTAGGAAAGGCAGGATTCTGTTTGGTGTGGACCAAGTTTTGGTGAAAGAGACTTTTGGGAGCAATACAGGCCCTATGGGCATGCTGTTTTTATCTATTTGATCTTCCTGTCTTTAAAATGTTGTAAAATCGTCCATGACACCAGTAAGACAATTTTAAGAAACCAGTAAAACAATTTTAAGGCACTAGTAAAACAATTTTAAGACACCAGTAAGACAATTTTAAGACACCAGTAAAACAATTATAAGACACCAGTAAGACAATTTTAAGACAATTTGAAGACACCAGTAAGACAATTTTAAGACACCTTCATTTTGTGGCTTTATCTCTAAGAAATCCTTGAAAGCCAACAAAAAGTTTTCTGGATGCATGTGGCTTAATATTTAGTATTTTCAGCAAGAAAAAAAAACTGATGCCATTTAAATCAATATAAACAAAATATGCAATTATACCAAGACATTGATATATTGTCCCTTCAATAGAGAAAGGATATTATTATGGTCCCTGGTGTACCAAAGTCCCACAACCTCCAAATTACAGAGTTACTGTTGTTTCTCTGGGAGTATTAATCAGTTTTACTGATACTCTGGTTTATTAAATCAGCACAATGTTAGCTAGGTAACTTAAGTAATAGTAAACTATTTGTCTAATTCTCCTTCGACACAAAAACACTAGGATTTTCTATATCAGTTACTGAAAATGAACACAAAAATACAAGCATCAATAAAATTTTATTCCAATTAAGACACAGAGGAATCATTGTCGCATGATTATCAGATTCATACATCTCAGTTACAACACATATTAACACAAGTGTGACATTATCCCCCACTGTTTAAATCAATGACAATCATGTAATACCTATTATAATAACAGGCGTTAATCCACCACTGTTATTTATGTTTTGACAAATGTCAGTTTTTACTGTTGATGTTTCTGAGTATGATTTGGATCATTCCCAAATAAAAAGATTAAATAATAACCTTTGTTATATAATTTATTAAAGGCTATGTATAAATATGGAAGTTACTTCTAAAATTGGTTTGTCATAGACTATAATGCTATATCTGACAGACAACTGAAAAATATTTATCAAGATAAAAAAAACTCCTCCAGAAGCAAATTTTAGTGTGTACAGAGAGGACAAAGGTTCAGACGGTGTTGGAGCAATTTTGTTTAATGCTCTGGAAACTGTGATACTGGTCATTTTTCTTGCTCTTATCTGTTCCCATGGTAACAAAAAAATAAATTGAATAGTCCTTTACTGAAAAGGCACCTCAAAGGTGACTATGTTAGTCTGGTACTGACAAAAATGATAAACAATGAAAACTTGTCACTGTGACTAGCTTGATAACTGTTCAAAGTTTCAGAACTTGGGTCCAGAAATACTGAAATTTGTAATTTGGCCTATTTGTTACCATGGTATCACAAAAAGTATTTAAATAGAGACCTTCTTCATAAAAAAAGGAACTGCTAGAGTACCGATTCAAAGTTTTGAATAATTATCTAGAAGGGTTCCAGATCTCTGCCTGAAAAAATTTTACCCATGATTGGACAAACCCAATTTAACGGTACTAGAACTAATTACCAGAGTTTGTGCCATTCGTGAATTATGCAGGTTTTTTTTTTCAAAAGATCAATATATATAGCACTGAAAAGAAGAATCATCTGTTTTGGGAGGCATTTAAAGTGACCTGTTTTATGTTTGTCAAGAAATTCTTATCCAACCAAAGGCCAAGAATCACAGCTCAACGATAACAAAAAACTGATATTGACAACTTGGTGATTGGCCTAGTGTAATAAAATGTAAAGCTGTTAAATGTTAAAACAACATGAATGGCCGGCATTGAGTGAATATATGGGATTTCACCAAATGAGTACAGCTACCATTGTATTAAGCATTGTTCAGTCAATTAACTGATTCCATGAAGAATATTCTATAAATAAGTGGAGGAGTTGCCTAGTTCCGATTATGTATGAATTTTTGCGAGGTGAAAAAGGACACTGGTATAAAGTGTAAAAAGTTGTACTCCAGAGCTATTCTATTTATAGAGGCAATATGATCAATTCATATCTCCAAATCATCATAGATCATAACAGTCCTGTAATAAGCCCATCTCTTGACTTTGAATCAGGAAATGGCCTGGACTTATTGCAGGGTACACATAGATAAATTTACTATATACAGGAATAGATCAAAAGTAAAAGTTGCAAGTTACACAATAAAAAATGACTGCCATTCCAATATTATTTTTTCTTTCAATAATTGTTTTTGGGGGGATAGAAGTGGAATGTATACTTATGGACTTAGAAGCCTTTCCAAAACATAATAAAAAAAGTTTTACTAAAAAAATACATGTGTAAAATAATTTGTAAATGTTTTTATTAAATTGCATTTATATTAATCTTATCCCTCTCATTTTTTCATAACTCACACAAAAAAGGAAAAGTTAAAAATAAAATAAAATTCCATAAAATTGAAAAATAAAAAACAAAACATTTACAAAACATTGGTGAAACACTGCTTTAGATTTTGTTGATATAAATCCAAGATCTGTAATAACTGAAAATTAATTACAAAGAGAAGTTCGAAATATTTCATTTACAATTCAGAGCAGTTTGTGTCTTTTAATCACATTTTAAGTTTTGAGATGGGATACTGACTTTGATGCTATAACTGAAAATAGGACACAAAAGTTTATGAGAGATGTGATGCTTCTCGAGGTCTTTTCTCTGAACGGTAGTTCTCCGGAAGATAAAAATATTTCATACACTCCAATACAACCATATAGCTCAGAATAAATACATTATTACTATTGTTTGTCAACATCTCTTGTTCTACAATTCCATGCACTAAACTTCCATTTTCCTTTCATTCCAGTCAACCATACAATTTATCACAGTTTACTCAACTTATAATTTTCTTTAATAAAAACCTTAAACTTCAAATACTATACTAAAAATCCTATTGAAAATCTTAGTTTCAATTTAAAAATACTTTTTCTTAGAAAATACATTTGATATTGTCGGAAGACAATTCTTTCCTTGTTCTAGGTTTATGTCACATTAAAAAAATCAAACGTTGAAACTCTGATATCCTTTCATATCGACTAAAAACACCAGTAATTTACCATTATTTATGGAAAACCAGCATATTATTAAAATTAACAAAAATAATTCAATTTTCTCTAAAGCAGTTTCATCCTATAGGACCGACACATTTAAACACATATATATTGATAAAAATCTATAAAAGCTCTGGATATAATACATATAGTACAAATCAAAGGCCAAATTTTCAGTTTGATACTTTAACAATCATTTATATGTTGTAGTATATTGAAAGGAGACCACAGGGATCTTAGACCATATTTCACCTATATCCCGACCACATGGGCCTGAGAACTTATTACAGGTATATTTGGACCTATATCCCGACCACATGGGCCTGAGAACTTATTACAGGTATATTTGGACCTATATCCCGACCACATGGGCCTGAGACATTGTTACAGGTATATTTGGACCTATATCCCGACCACAAGGGCCTGAGACCTTGTTACAGGTATATTTGGACCTATATCCCGACCACAAGGGCCTGAGACCTTGTTACAGGTATATTTGGACCTATATCCCAACCACATGGGCCTGAGAACTTATTACAGGTATATTTGGACCTATATCCCGACCACATGGGCCTGAGAACTTATTACAGGTATATTTGGACCTATATCCCGACCACATGGGCCTGAGACATTGTTACAGGTATATTTGGACCTATATCCCGACCACAAGGGCCTGAGACCTTGTTACAGGTATATTTGGACCTATATCCCGACCACAAGGGCCTGAGACCTTGTTACAGGTATATTTGGACCTATATCCCGACCACAAGGGCCTGAGACCTTGTTACAGGTATATTTGGGCCTATATCCCGACCACATGGGCCTGAGACCTTGTTACAGGTATATTTGGACCTATATCCTGACCACAAGGGCCTGAGACCTTGTTACCGGTACATCTTGACCTGTCCAAATTGATTTGTTACACTCATTACGTAACATTTTTGACAGACTACATTCAACGTTTGGTAGAAATGACACTCCAGTATGGTGCATATTGAAAATGCAATATATCTAAGTAATTAGTATTAAGTAGGGATGTCATTTTTACAGACAGTTGACTATAAAGCCCCTGATATGTCTATAAAATGTCCTGTGTACGTTAACTTGATAATCTCATAAAAAATAAGTGTTATTTCTGTGGAACTGGGATATTAATTTGCAGAAATGCTAAAAAAAAAAAAAAATCAAAAACCAAATGGAAGCATGGTTCTACCAATGGCAGTTCACATTTCTCAGGAAGCTGGCAAATGGACTAGTCTATAGGATGACATTGTTTTGTCCTTGGGCAAGAGGACACCTTAGTCGTTCTAAGCAGCATGCCGTGGCCTCCCATATGTTGTTCAGTGAGGAAGCCACCAGCTACTACCAGACACCCTGCCTTAAAATGTCCCTGGCTGCTCATGGGTGACAAAACTTAACAAAACAAAAGTTGATAATATGTTAATGATTAGGTGAATGATAATATGTAAATAGTATTGATTTAAGTATTGTTTGTTTTTACAGGTGTCAGTAAACATTTACCTAATGTACTCTGAATAACTGTGTGATAATGAACACAAAGTACTTTAAACAAATTATAGCCTGGAAAATTATATTAAGATTTCACCTTCAAACTGAATTCTCTGCTCCACTCTTAGGATTTTTCAAAGATTTGTATGCGGTGGACTTTGTACTGTGTCGTGGCCCTAGCGCCTGATAGTCAGTAACTTCTACATATTCATGAGAAACATGTGATTTGATGGAAGATGGGTGTGGCCCTGTGCTTGGTTTGATAGAGGGCTGTGGAGGTCGACGTGGCAGTGGACAACCAGGTGGTACCATTTGCTTTGATACACGAGGTCCACTAAAAATAAAACATTGAAATATCTTTTTTAATGTCATTTCTCAGAATTCATACCTGAGTAATTTTCAACCAACATCTAATGAATATGTTCTAGTTTTTCTGATCTCAGAATATCACAAAAAAGAAATTTACAAGAGATACGTAAATGAAGAGCACCTTTAAATAATTCAGAATTGGATACAGTAGAGCCAAACAATCAAATAAACTCCATCATAAAGCTGTTTCATCCTTCTAGGACACTTCAGTGATGATAAGGACCTAAATTTTGAAGCCTTGGAGGAAAATCCAAAGTGAACAAAAAAAAGTGAATATCTACACTGGTCGTTGCAGCAGCACTATCATCAAAACGTCAATATCTACACAGGTCGGTGCAGCAGCACTATAATTAAAACGTCAATATCTACACAGGTCGGTGCAGCAGCACTATAATTAAAACGTCAATATCTACACAGGTCGGTGCAGCAGCACTACAATCAAAACGTCAATATCTACACCGGTCGGTGCAGCAGCACTACAATCAAAACGTCAATATCTACACAGGTCGGTGCAGCAGCACTATAATCAAATAAATTTCTTAATTTTAGAACAGTGTAAAGTACATGTGTATACTACTAGTAAACCTAAAGTCATCATAACATTGGTGTGTCTTACCAAAACCCCAGTGAATTCACAAAACAGCAGCATTGCTTTTACAATGTCTATTTTATCAATGTAGCATCTTAAACTTCCATGTTCATCTCAAATATCAGAAGTCAGTCTTTAAATCATGACAATAAAAAATCTGGTCAAAATCCATTCTGAAATATTGTGATTAGAGTAAGAGTGACAATTTAATGTTCATACCTGACATTTTGAGGTGAGATGTAATCGTAGTGATCAGGTCCAGGAACAGATTCCACCTGATATGCTATGTTAGCTATACCACTGAAGGACTGTGTTCGGGCTCCACCAAAGTCATGCTGAGAAATGGTCTGTAAATACAATCAACAAATCTCTTTGTACTTCTCATCTCAAATATTGTTGAATGTATAAGCTAAGTGTTAGATATCTGAGTGAAGAAGTGATGTGTAAGATATCTGAGTGATGAACTGATGTGTAAGGTATCTGAGTGATGAACTGATGTGTAAGGTATCTGAGTGAAGAACTGATGTGTAAGATATCTGAGTGATGAACTGATGTGTAAGGTATCTGAGTGAAGAACTGATGTGTAAGATATCTGAGTGAAGAACTGATGTGTAAGATATCTGAGTGAACAACTGATGTGTAAGATATTTATGCAAATATAAATATTACAACACACTGATATAAAAACTTTTTTAAAAAAAGTAAAAATGTGTACAATTAATCATTTACAAACAAGAACAAGAGGTCCAAGGGGCCTGCATCACTCACCTGGCTAATTTACCTATTCAACCTTTTAATAAAGAATTTTATATATGACAAATAATTTCTGATATAATTTCTGTACGAGTCCCACCCTTGTGGTCACACAACTGATTCTGCTACACCCAAGAATACTTCAGACTAAATTTGGGAAATATCCATTCATTCCTACAGGAGGAGTAGATTTTAAAGAATTTACTCTGTTGAGCCAGGTGAGTTCAAAAAGACTTACTGATGGTCCTCTTCCTGTGGCCTTTGCTGTCTTCGCCTTCCTGGTACGGACAAAATAACAAATAGTACCAACCAGGACCAGGATAAAGACAACACCAACAGCCGTAGCTACGACAGGAATGACCCACCCTGAAAATTTATAAACATTGATCAGAATCAGGAACACAAGAAACAATGTTGTACACAATTTACTCCTGAAACATTGAAAGTGTCGAGATCAATTACTTAAACAATTTGTAGCATTTCTTCCCATCATACCACCCACCAAATATCAGGATCTTGAGATTCTTGCTTATTGAGAAAATATTTTTAACAAAAAAAACACATATGACCCCTAATTTTAATGCATTTGACTTCTGTAGCCTTGAAAGTAGATAAAAGCATTCTACTGGCACAATAACATGACACCGGGCTTCTTGGTCAATGAGAAAATATTAGTTAAAAATTCTAGCACATATGACCACTGTGATCTTGAAGACAGTTTGTCAGGATTTGTCATTTGATAGCACTTCACATAACTTGCTACTAGCTCAATGATATGACTCTGGGCCTCTTAGTTTATGAGAAGAAGTTGTATTTATTTTGAACACATTTGACCCACTTGACAAACCAAGTTGGATACTTCATTAGAACAAACTTGGTAGTCCTACATCCTGGTCAGCCACTGGTCTCATATCATGACCTATTCAACAAGACATTGCTTAAATATTTCAATATGTTTGATTCCTCTGACCTTAAAAGTGGGTCAAGGTCAAATATTTAAACAGACTTTGTATCCTGCCATCTCAGTACAATGTATGATATATGCCCAATATTATGACCCTAGACTGGTTGGCTATTGGAAAAATATTGCTTGAAGATTTTAAAAGTTGGTCAAGGTCTGTCATTTGTACAAAGCTGGTAGCACTTTTCTCAGTATGCTACTAGCCCAATATCATGACCCTAGCCTCTTGGCCTCTTTGAAGACACCTGTGACCTTGACAGCAGGTTAAGGTAATTCACTTGAATAAACATTGTAGCACCTTCATTCCAGCATGCTACTGGCACAATATCATATGACCTTTGGCCATTTTGTTATTAAGAAGTTGTCTAAAACGAAAATTGGATGATGGATGGACAAAAAGGGGACATTATACAACAGTGTAAGCTCACTTTGGAGGGTTGCCTGAGCCAAGAAAGGTAGTGAGTAGTAACAGGATTTCATAGGGGGCGAATATTGATAGGAATAGGGGGGGGGGGGGCAACAGTTATGTTATCCACACTGTAACCATGTTAACTGATTAAAATTACAGTAAATATTTGACACCAATGAATATTTGTTATCGGTATTACAGAGATTGTGTTTTTTTTTTTTTTACTTTTTCATTAGTAGTATTATTTGTTAAAAAGGCAGAAATTATACAAAATTATTATATAAATAAAATATTATTGTTTAATCAATAACACTATGAGTTGAAATTTATCGGTGATTGATGTTTAATGAGTGATTAATGTTGGGAATTCCTGGGATTTATACAGCTTCAAATTTTGTAATGGAAATTTTATGTACTGGTTATATGTATTCATCACACACTACACAAAGGGAGATAATTCAATAAGATTAATTAATAGATTTGACATTAATTAAGTAATTAACCTCTTTGATAAAAGACATGTCAAATGGGTATTAATTCACAACAACATTAGTCAGAGAACATATTTACACATTGAAGTTTTATATTTAAAAAATACACATATACAGATATAGGACATGAGTTTCTGTGATTTACATGGCCACATCAACACTGTGTAACATATGATCTAATATGCTTCATCATTTACATCATATCATCAACTTCATCATCAACATGTAAAAATCAAATTCAGATATTCTGTATAACAGGGAAACTGAAATATTGAATGTTGTATCCAAAAATAATGTCATCAAAGATGATTCTAATCCAAATTAATTATAAAATCTGTATGTTAGAGTTTAAAACAGTGACAAATTAGATTACGTTTTGGTCTTAGTTTAAGTCATAAGTGATTTACACTTATAATCACCAACATCAATAACAGTCACACATAAACGAAAATATACAAGCATTTAATCAACCCTGATCAACGTTCTCCTTGGTTGATATCAAAACAGAACCATGTGGCCATGAATTAATTAGCAGATGATAACATCGCCTAATGAAGTTTCATATAACACATAACTCACAGGCTTGTGTCTTTAATGCACTTGTCTGTCATGACCAAACTATCGTATGGAAATGAGGCTCACCACAGGGTTTGAATACAATATTTGTATTGTGGTGACAGCGTTTTGATAAATGATGTCAGTTAAGAATTGTGTCGCACCTCTTCCATAAAGTAGGCAATGGTGAACACTGGAATTCTGATCTGTTAAAGTAACTTTGAGCTCTACACAAGGAAATGTGAAAAATGCTCATTTATGGAAACATTTCTGAATAAGATATTTTATTTGTAATAATGTAATGATAGCCTTAACAATTCTTACACAGGTTCCTCAAGCAGTCATGTGATGTCAACACAAACCTTCTATTACCAATGATAAACCACATCACAATCTGTCATGTGATATCAACACAAACCTTCTATTACCAATGATAAACAACATTACAATCTGTCATGTGATATCAACACAGACCTTCTATTACCAATGATAAACTACATTACAATCTGTCATGTGATATCAACACAGACCTTCTATTACCAATGATAAACAACATTACAATCTGTCATGTGATATCAACACAGACCTTCTATTACCAATGATAAACTACATTACAATCTGTCATGTGATATCAACACAGACCTTCTATTACCAATATTATGTATAAATGTCAACCAACCAAACATGTTTTGCTTGTATTTGATTTAATAATTATGATTCTGCAACTTAAAGAATTGTACCTGGAGCTATCAGAATCTTTGGATGGAATTCTCATTTGAACACCACATTTCTTTGTGTGTAAAACATTTGGTTGAGTTACAAGAAAAACACATGTGTACACAACTGAAAATGTTGACAGCATTAGTTCCAAGGAATTCTATAGTGTCAGAGTATTTTTATTTATTAATTTTTGCCTTAAATAAACAGAGAAAAAAAAAAGGTCTTACTTTACACTATGCCAAGATGTAGGTAAATGACTTCAATCATGAATTAGCTTGTACTTTCATTGTGTTCAGTTACAGATAGAGACTTCAATAAATATTGGAATACAATCTTGAGTTATGTATCAAGGGAAACAACTCAGAAAAGTACTAAATGCACACTCATGCAAGACACATTTATTAATGTACACTAAAAGACAGTGTAAGACACACTAAAAAGACAGTGTAAGATACATTAACAAGAGGCCCACAGGCCTTAAGGGTCATCTGACTACAAAGACATATATATGAAAGAGTCCAAATAGGCCAAAAATAAATTGCTCAGCTATGCTACAGTTTACATAGAAGACACTGGTTGGTTCATAAAGACATTTTCTGCAAACTTTAACTCATATTCTTTATACATGTATTACACAAATGCCATTACACTGGACATATTGCTTGTTGATAACTGTCACCTTGACAGTAGGTCAAAGTGAACAAACTTGGTAGCCCTTCATCCCAGCATGCTTCAGGCCCAATATCAGCACCACAGACCTTTTTGTTATTGAGAAGAAGTTGTTTAAAGACTTCAACACATTTGACCCCTGTGACCTTGAAAGTTCAATCAAATTTACTTAGCTGGAAACAACTATCTCAAAGATGGCATCTATATCGGATTTTGTTTTTGTAGCTTGTTTATTTATATATCGATAAATTTCAACCAATTGACCAATTGAAATTAGATTGAAACTATTTTCTCTATGCAGAGCCAATAGGTGGTGTGATGGTTTGAGATTTGCACATGCTAATTCATACCAGGTGTTACCTATACATGTCATTCAGGTGATATAGGAAGTGGCAGGCAGATGTAAAAAAAAAAAAAATTCTGAACTGTGAATTTATTGTTAACGCCCTCTTAAAATAGTTACATGGGAAATAACTACAAGAAATATTCACTATTGTTCACTTAATTTATGATTATTTAGGTTTTCTTGCAGGTACACTATATGTGTGTGTGTGTGTGTGTGTGTGTGTGTGTATTTTGTCCATGAAGTATATCCTTATTTGAAAATAATTTGTTTTATTTCAAACATCAGTCACAATGCCTCTGTCGCTGTGAAAAATAAAGAAAACTTTTACTTATAAACCAACAGAAAATAACTCAGTGGGACAGGGCAACTTGCACAACAAACTTACAGAATTACAAATCAGACATAATAATTCTCAATAATTTTCTGTCATCATGGAATTAGTACTAACCAAAAAGCAGAAAAATTCACAAATGATGCACATAATTACAAATATATGTTAATGTTACTGATATACTGGAACATACTTCTACAACCAAAGCACAAAGGACATGACAAGGGAAGTGTACTTCAACAACCCAAACAAAAGTGGTATAAACAGATCAGAACAAAGTATACTTCTACAGACAAAATAAGGAAGCTATACTTCTACAGACAAAATAAGGAAGCTATACTTCTACACACAAAATAAGGAAGCTATACTTCTACACACAAAATAAGGAAGCTATACTTCTACACACAAAATCAGGAAGCTATACTTCTACACACAAAATAAGGAAGCTATACTTCTACACACAAAATAAGGAAGCTATACTTCTACACACAAAATAAGGAAGCTATACTTCTACACACAAAATTAGGAAGCTATACTTCTACACACAAAATAAGGAAGCTATACTTCTACACACAAAATTAGGAAGCTATACTTCTACACACAAAATAAGGAAGCTATACTTCTACACACAAAATAAGGAAGCTATACTTCTACACACAAAATCAGGAAGCTATACTTCTACAGACAAAATAAGGAAGCTATACTTCTACTGACAAAATAAGGAAGCTATACTTCAAAACAACACAGGTACACTGTTACAGACAAAACAACACAGGTACACTGTTACAGACAAAACAACACAGGTACACTGTTAGAGACAAAACAACACAGGTACACTCATACAGACAAAACAACACAGGTACACTGTTACAGACAAAACAACA